TACGACCGCAAAAAAATTTTGTGGTCGTATATTGGTATGACGTTGGCGTCGTCGTCGTCGTCGTCGTCCGGCGTCGTCGTTGTCGTCGTCGTCCGGCGTCGTCGTCCGAATACATATTGGTTTTCGCACTCTAACTTTAGTTTAAGTGAATGGATCTTTTTGAAATTTGACCATAAGGTTAAATACCATAAAAGGAAGGTTGGGATTGATTTTGGGGGTTATGGTACCAACAGTTAAGGAATTAGGGGCCAAAAAGGGGCCAAAAATGAGCATTTTCTAGTTTCCAGACAATAACTGTGGAACGGTGTATGGATCTCTCTGAAATTATACTACAAGTTTCCATACCACAAAGGGATGGTTAGGATTTGCTTTGGGGGGTTATGGCTCAAACCGTTTAGGAATTACGGGCAAAAAAGGGGGAAAAACAAGGTTGTCCTGGTTAATGGACAAATACTTTAGTACAAAACATAATTTAAAGCAGTGTAAGGGAGATAAATCAAATACATCATTGAAATTATCTCCCTTACACTGCTTTTAAATTATGTATAAAGTAATGGTTAATGAACAATAAAGATAATCTAAAACAGTGTAAGGGAGGTAATCCAAATACAACGTTTTGGTTACTTCCCTTACACTGCTTTTAAATTATGTTTAAAGAAATGCATATTTATAAAGGAAGACCAGTAAAAATATCTGCAAATGTTTTCATCTTTTTTTTTTACAAAAAAATCCATATGAAAGATTTGACACTATATTTTTATTAATTCTATTATAAAATAGATTAAGTTAGCACTATGGTAAATTTAAATGGGTAATTATGGTTGCAAACTCCATTGTAAATTTGAATTGAGATTATGACCATATCTTGAGGGAAAGAATTTTTTTGGGGGAAAAAGGGGGGGGGGATAAAAAGAAATTGTGGGGGGCCAATTTTTTCTCATTTCAGATTTCAGAAATTAAAAAGAATTATTCTTCAAATATTATTTTTTTTTCAAATTTCAAATATTGAAAAATTTCAAGAAGTAATCTTTAATTGCACAGTATGGCGCATTAGATTTGTAAAATCTTTGATCACATTTATTTATTTGTTATGCCGAATCTAACAGTGTATTTAGATTTTTAATTTTGGGTCCAGTTTTCAAATTGGTCTACATTAATGTCCAAAGGGTCCAAAATTAAACTTTGTTTGATTTTAGCAAAAATTGAATATATGAGGTTCTTTGATATGCTGAATCTAAACATGTATTTAGATTTTTGATTTTTGGCCCAGTTTTCAAGTTGGTCCAAATTGGGGTCCAAAATTAAACTTTGTTTGATTTCAACAAAAATTGAATATATGGGGTTCTTTGATATGCTGAATCTAACCATGTATTTAGATTTTTTATTTGTGGACCCTGTTATCTAATTGGTTCATATTGAGGTCAAAAGGGTCCAAAATTAAACTTTGTTTGATTTCATCTAAAATTGAATTATTGGGGTTCTTTGATATTCCAAATCTAACCGTGTATTTAGGTTTTTAATTTTGGGTCCTGTTTTTTAAATTGGTCTACATTGAGGTCCAAAGGGTCCAAAATTAAACTTAGTTTGATTTTGACAAAAATTTAATTCTTGGGGTTCTTTGATTTGCTGAATCTAAACTTGTGTTTAGATTTTTGATTATGGGCCCAGTTTTCAAGTTGGTCCAAGATAGGGTCCAGTATTTAAACTTTGTTTGATTTCAACAAAAATTGAATATATGGGGTTCTTTGATATGCTGAATCTAAACATGTATTTAGATTTTTGATTATGGGCCCAGTTTTCAAGTTGGTCCAAATTGGGGTCCAAAATTAAACTTTGTTTGATTTCAACAAAAATTGAATATATGAGGTTCTTTGATATGCTGAATCTAACCATGTATTTAGATTTTTTATTTGTAAGCCCCGCTATCAAATTGGTTCATATTGAGGTCAAAAGGGTCCAAAATTAAACTTTGTTTGATTTCATCGAAAATTGAATTATTGGGGTTCTTTGATATGCCAAATCTAACCGTGTTTTTAGATTTTTAATTTGGGTTCCGTTTTTTAAATTGGTCTTCATTGAGGTCCAAAGGGTCCAAAATTAAACTTAGTTTGATTTTAACAAAAATTGAATTCTTGGGGTTCTTTGATATGCTGAATCTAAACATGTGTTTAGATTTTTGATTATGGGCCCAGTTTTCAAGTTGGTCCAAGTTGGGGTCCAAAATTAAACTTTTTTTGATTTCAACAAAAATTGAATATATGGGGTTCTTTGATATGCTGAATCTCACCATGAATTTAGATTTTTTATTTGTGGGCCCCGCTATCAAATTGGTTCATATTGAGGTCAAAAGGGTCCAAAATTAAACTTTGTTTGATTTCATCAAAAATTGAATTATTGGGGTTCTTTGATATTCCAAATCTAACCGTGTATTTAGATTTTTAATTTTAAGTCCCGTTTTTTAAATTGGTCTACATTAAGGTCCAAAATTAAACTTAGTTTGATTTTAGCAAAAATTGAATTCTTGGGGTTCTTTGATATGCTGAATCTAAACATGTGTTTAGATTTTTGATTATGGGCCCAGTTTTCAAGTTTGTCCAAGTTGGGGTCCAAAATTAAACTTTGTTTGATTTTAACAAAAATTGAATATATGGGGTTCTTTGATATGCTGAATCTAACCATGTATTTTGATTTTGGACATTGGACCATAATAGGTAAATTAAAAAAATTCAAGTTCTTAGACCACATTCTTTCTGTGTCAGAAACCTATGCTGTGTCAAATATTTAATAACAATCCAAATTCAGAGCTGTATCAAGCTTGAATGTTGTGTCCATACTTGCCCCAACTGTTCAGGGTTCGACCTCTGCGGTCGTATCAAGCTGCGCCCCAGCGAAGCATTTTATTATTTTATGAAAGGCCATACACATTCAATTGTAATTGCATATTTTTAGCCTTTTTGACTTACAAAAATGGACCGAAAACTGTCCAAGCTGTTACCATAGCAACCACAAAATTTTATGCGGAACTTGATGTATATTTTGGCATATCTCAACGATTAGAACATTTTTACAAATTTTGAACCAATTCTGTGACATGTCATTTCCACATGATTTTGATGCTTACAGAGAATGACTCTTAAGATGCTATGTTCTGTCAAAGTACTCCATAATTTCAAAGTTACTTAAAGTTTTATCGTTTTTTACACATTATTTTAAAATTTTGAAATGCACTGTATTCAAGGAACAAAATAAAACTTTTGGTAATTTAAGATATATCAGAAAAGAATGTTTTCTTGAAAGAACTTTGTGTGTTTAGCATTTAGCCACATTTGTTTTCACCAAAAAACAATGTGAAAATGTAATCCATATGAAAAATTAAAGATTTTGTTAAGATAAACTGATTTTATACTGTTTATACAATAACATAATACATAGTACATACTTTTTATTTTATTTTACCTAAAGTCATTTATTAAAGGACTATTTCACAACAAATTATTGCTCTGTATCAATGTTTAAAATTTGGGCAATTTTATAGGCTTAGTGCACCTTATCATATTATGTATATCATTGATGGATTATCTCCCCTGAGAAACTATTTTATTATGTTAACTGTAAAATCTTCCATTATCAAGCAAAGAAAGTAAATTGTTCAATGAATTTCATTTTTTTACATGTGTTTTTTTAATTTAGAATTCAAACAATGCTATATTATAGGAACAACAACACAAGTACTACAAGCTGTAGTAAAATTACTTTCTCTTTTTTTTCAGAAAAGATGTGATATTTTATGTTTGAATTCTGGTGTAGATTACAGACTGGAAACACTACCCTCATCAGGAAAAGTTTATTTTTTGTATGTTGAAAAAAAGATAGACAACAAATGCAACAAAACCTTTAGAATGTTATCTTAAGCAAAATTTGCTTAGCCATATGGCTGTTTATTCAACTTAAGGAATCTAGATGAAGTGTTTTAACTAATTAAATAATATATACATTATGGGTAAATCAGGACTTTCTGCATATTTTAAAATGTAATATTTTGATGCTATACATACCCAGGCTTATATATACTTAGTTGAGCAAGGCTAAACAAATTTTGGAAGCTTTTCTGCTAAAAAATCATATAATTCGTGTGAAACATGAAAACAGATTTTGTGATCAAAGGGGGCATACATCCTTTACACCCCCTGCATCTGGGAGAAATATGTGATGAAAAGAATATGATATGGGTTTTTTGCCATGTCACATCCCATATCAACCTTGACAAATATAAGACTGGTCTGATGTCTTTGGTTGTTGTTGAATGTGATATAAAAAAAACAAAGATAATGTTATTAATTAAAATGCAATCTTGAATGTATATATTGAATTGGTCAGTGGCAGAAAAAAATCCTTTTTAAGAAAATTTTGTTATATTTCAAACATTCAAACGACCATAAGATATTATCAAAGCAATCTTTTAAAAAAACGCTGGGAAAAAATTACATTATAATTTCTAGCCTTCCATTAGGGACTTAAAGCATGTTTTTTTACTTTAAAGAACAAGTGATGTTGAGATACAGACAGAAGTGGATATTATATTTCATGAAATAGCTGCTACTGAAAATGATGGTAGGTATAATTAATATTGCAGTATTTTTTATCCATGGGAAATAGACACCTAACCTCAAATGAAAAAAGGGGAAAAAACACCGGGAATGAATTGCTAAGCATGACTCGAGTGCCCCCATATGTAAAATATGAAAACCTTATTTCCAATACCTATGATATGTACACAAAAAAAATAGATGATAATTGTCAAATATATAAGAAATATGTTTATGTTATTCTGTACATCAAAAATAAATTTGGTGTAAGGATACATTTAAGAGACTTACAATCTCCTTTATAATTAGGTCACCCTGACACTACTTCTATTCAGTAAAATTTTAATGTCCAAATTCTTTTCTCAGATTCATATTGACCTTCATTTTGGTCCGTTTCACACTGAAGTTTATTTCACTTTCATAATTTTTTTTTTTTTTTAACTTGAATGACATATCAATGACATTTAGTTATTACTTTTTAGTTCTGTTGTCTTTACTGGATAACTATCTTCCAGATATCGCTCACTGATTCTTTTTATTAATTATACCCCACGCAAATTTTTTGCAAAGGGTATAATGTTTTTGACCCGTCCGTCCGTCTGTCTGTCCATCAGTCCGTCAGTCCTGTTTCTTGTCATCGCAACTCCTCTCAAACCACACAACAGAATTTCATGAAACCTTTTCAGATAATAAGGACATACTATGTAGTTGTGCATATCGACAGGAAATTACGATTCAATTTTTTTTCTAGGAGTTACGCTCCTTTGAACTTATTTGCTTCAATGTACTTCTGCAACAGTTTGTCATCGCAACTCCTCTGAAACCACACAACAGAATTTCATGAAACTTTGTAGAATAAGGACATACTATGTAGATGTGCATATTGACAGGAAATTATGATTCAATTTTTTTTTCTTACACTTATTCTATTTCTCCAATGACAATGTGGGGATGTGGGGTATGTGAGCGCGCTCACTAAGGTTCTTTATAATTTATTTTTAAATAATTAGTGATAGCAATATTGCATCAATGATTCTGGATGTCACAATTTGACAGCATGTTTTTGTTTTACTTGGAAACTATATTTTTTCAATATATTATCATAATAAATTAATTATATAAACTTATGATATTGATGGTCAGTTAATTAATTGCACTTTTTAATTCATATCAATTTTAGTTGAACGATCGAAAGTTTTAGAAGTGTTTGGGCGTCAATTGTTATTACCAAGAACCTGTGGTGGGTTGTTAGATACAACATTTGATGACATGTGTGTAAAGGTAAGGTTTTTATAAAAGACTCACTTTGAATTAAACTGTTTTGTATTATATAAAGCTTTGCCTATCTAGAACATAAGTTTTTACTGTTGCAAATTGAGTTTACCAGAGCCATGTAGGTGAGCTAGATGAACAGATATTTATGACAGCAAAACAATTTTTCCATAGGCCAAGGTTAGAACATTTAGTTTCATTATTATTTTGTTGTGAAAATCTAATACTGTGAATTAGAAGACATATTACAAGCATCCTTACACCAAATCCATCAGTTTAAGTCATTATTATTCGTGATATACCTATCTTAGTGAATTTCCTTGGTAAAGGTTAATCACAAATTTAAATGTCGAAGTAAATACAGATTTTTTTATAGGCAGACTTTGGTGCAAATCATGAAATCAAATTTCCTTGAAAATATAAGTTTTCCTCAATCCACAAAAATTGGTTCCCATGAAAATAAATTAATCCACAGTAAAACAAAATTTCTTTAAAATCTTGTTTTCTTCTTTTGAAACTAAAACAGAAAAATTAACTTCTACTTCATTTGGTCTCTGTTGGAGAATTGTCTCATTGGCAATCATACCAACGTCTTCTGATTTTATAAAGTTGTGAAGACAAATCTTTGGGGTACTGTTTGCAACATCAACAATTTTTACAGGTTTTGATTAGGTCAGTTTAACAAATGATACTTTCCTTTGATGTACTGTAGGTAAAGGTAAAATGGATCAGGATTTGAAGATAGTGTGGAAAGCTACTAGATAAATATAGATTTTACCAAGATTTGATGCATCTTGTTAATACAGCCTTACTTTAGACAGATCAATTTTTAAATTAAAAAAAAAAAACAAGAGTTACCAAATGGAGAAATGTCATATCCCCTGACATGTAGAGAAAAAATCTGTTTCTTTAATTATATTTAGACTATATATATATTAGCACAATTTGTATGTCAATAAGATTGAAACCATTGATTGATTCCTTATAGGAGTTATTGCCCTTAATTGAAAATCTTTAACTAACTTTAACATGTATGCCTATTATCATAAAAAAAGCCCTACCAAAATGCCAATTTGTTGAAACCATCATTTGATGACAATTGAAAATTGTTTGTCTCATATCTGGAAAACTATAATAGTAACACAGAAATTGTAAAAAGCAAAACCTTAAACTTAGCATAAACTTAATGATGCCCATGCAATTTTAAATAGTGTTTTTTGTCAATGAAGACCCTTCTGCCCAGAGAATCTAGTTGGAGTCTAGAAAACAAAAAAAATAAGTTTATACTTTTCAACTGAGGTTCAATTTGCAAACCGCTGACATGAGGTCAGAAATCCAGATAAAAATTACCTGTAAATTATTTATTTGTCTTCCTCGGCTGTCACATGTACTCAGATTTTTTTTAAAGTAAATTAAATTGATCATTTCAGGCTTTAGGTGCTGTAGATTACTTAGAAATAAGTAAAGAATTTCATACTGTCATCCTCCGTAATATACCACAGATGACACTACGCCAGAAGTCAGCAGCAAGGCGATTTATAACAATGGTTGATACGTTATATGATAATCAGGTAAATTATAAGATGTTTTGTTACTAGTATATGATATTTTGAAACAGTTTTATACTCCTAACACCAAGAAGGGATATACTTATTTGCCTCTGTTCATCTGCTCTATAAAACTACAAATCAGAGATTCATAAAATTTGGTATCAAGTTTTATGTAGGCATCCTATATCATGTGATGCATTTTCACATCCATTACACGTCAACTTCCTGTTTAGCGAATACTTCTATGGGGTATCATTGGTGAGTATTGCTCACAGCATATCTTGTTTCATTTTAATGAACGTTTGAAACCTATAGCAATTACTGTAAATTCAGAAATTATTGCGATGTTTTTATTATGGCGAAAAAATACGACAGGGTTATAATCGCAATAATTTAAACTCGCATTTTGAAATTTTTTATATGAATTAAACAGGAATTTTCTCAATATTGCAAAAATTAAAATCGCATTTTAGTCTAAAATGACAAAATCGCAATAATAAATGCACGCAATAATTTCTGAATTTACAGTAATTGTAGGGAAAGGAAATATGTGTAAGTGGATGACCCTTATTCCCTGCAACTACAAATCACAGCATCAGGAAGTTTGGTTCCAAAGCTTATGTAGATCAATAATGCCCTCTGATTCTGTCAAGTTCCTGTTTAACATGTACATGTACTTCCCATGAAAGCAGTATCAAAATAAACTGAGAAATTGCAGGTTTCTTGGTTTGATAAAAGTTGTTTATAATCCTCATTTATGCATAATCCTTACACCCTTTTTTGCCAAGGGAATTCAGGTATTTCAAGTGGTATTTGGTCATTTGGGTCAATATCCCTTATGCGCCTTGAATTGAGGTACTCAAGTATAGTATGTTGAAGAGCAGAGGACCATAGAATAAAGGTGTATAAACTATAGAGTTATTATATGTGAGAAAGAAGTAAATTTTCATAGCACTTATTGTGTGAAAGAAGGGATTTTTTTACCTCTAGAAGCCGCATCACAAAGGGCTTTTGATGCTAAATTACAGAAAACAACTCACATTTGGTATCCCCAAAATTTAACCACAATGTGAAAATGTCTCAGCTTCAAAACGAGCCATCATTCATATCCAAGTTTACGATATGGGCAGAGGCTTTGAGGAAAAGGGTACCATTACCGCCTTCCTGAAATTAATTGCACATCTTGATCCATTTGTGGAATTTCCATGGAAAAAAAAAAGTTGAAAATGTTAATAAATAATTTAAGAACATTTCATAATTGTTAAATAAGCCCAAATCACCAAAAGACAATACAAAAGCTGGAAAGTACATGTAAATCACAAAATAAATTGGATGTGAGTGTGCAGAAATCCTGTGTTAGATAGATATTACAAAAGATTACAATTTTGAAAGTTACGATAATTCTGTATACATAGTTATACAGAATACTGTTTATTTTATTCAATCCTATAACATTTGAAGGACATTTGGTTATAGAAAACACCAACAGCTGTCTGGAACCAAATCTTATTGTAATATTGATTACCGTAGGCACACCTGAAGAAACTTGCAATGAAGCATTATATTTTGACATTTATCTTTAAATTCTTTTTTAAAATTGCATAATAATATTGATTTATAGATAAATTATTAAAATAATAAGAGAATTTGAAAAGAAATTTAAATAAATGGGGAATGTGTCCATGGGACACAGATAATGCCCCCGCTTGCATATAATGTTATAAAGGGACATAACTCAAGATCTGTAAAAGTGACGCTACCCAAATATGTACTTGATCTGAGTTTTGTGGTAATAAGCATTGTGTATACGTTTCATAACACTTAGTTGAGGCAAACTTAAGTTAGAGAACGGAAACCAAAAATTAGCAATTTTTGGATTTGTAAAGGGCATAACTCTAGAACAGTGAAAGTGACGCCACCAAAATTCGAACTTGATCTGTGTTTTGTGGTAATTAGCATTGTGCATAAGTGTCATAACATTTGGTTGAGGCAAACTAAAGTTTTACCAATTTTTATACGACCGCAAAAAAATTTTGTGGTCGTATATTGGTATGACGTTGGCGTCGTCGTCGTCGTCGTCCGAATACACATTGGTTTTCGCACTCTAACTTTAGTTTAAGTGAATGGATCTCTATGAAATTTTACCATAAGGTTCAATACCTCAAAAGGAAGGTGGGGATTGATTTTAGGGGTTATGGTACCAACAGTTAAGGAATTAGGGGCCAAAAAGGGGCCAAAAATAAGCATTTTTGTAACTTCCAGACATAACTTGTGTGTTAGTGTATGGATCTCTCTGACATTGTACCACAAGGTTCCATATCACAAAGGGAATGCTGGGATAGATTTTGGGGGTAATTGCCTCCAAATTTTAGGAATTAGGGGCCAAAAAGGGGCAAAAAACAAGCATTTTTCTAGTTTCATGACAATAACTTGTGTTCAAGTGTATGGATCTCTCTGACATTGTTCCACAAGGTTCTATATCTCAAATTGAATGCTGGAATTGATTTCGGGGGTAATTGCCTCCAAATTTTAGGAATTAGGGGCCAAAAAGGGGCAAAAAACAAGCATTTTTCTAGTTTCATGACAATAACTTGTGTGTAAGTGTATGGATCTTTATGAAATTGTACTACAAGGTTCCATATCACAAAGGGAAAGCTGGAATTGATTTTGGGGGTAATTTCCCACAACGTTCAGGAATAAGGGGCCAAAAAGGGGCCAACAATAAGCATTTTTATAGTTTCCAGACAATAACTTGTTCAAGTGTATGGATCTCTCTGAAATTGTACTGCAAGGTACCATACCACAAAGGAAAGGCTGGGATTGATTTTTGGGTTAAATCCCTAGAAATTTGAGGAATTAGGGGCCATAAAGGGGCAAAAAACAAGCATTTTTCTAGTTTCAGGACAATAACTTGTGTGCAAGTGTATGGATCTTTATGAAATTGTACTGCAAGGTTCCATATCACAAAGGGAAAGCTGGGTTTGAGTTTGGGGGTAATTGCCGTAAATGTTTAGGAATTTTGGGCCAAAAAGGGGCCAAAAAATAAGCATTTTTCTAGTTTCCAGACAATAACTTTTGTTCAAGTGTATTGATCTCCCTGAAATTGTACAGTAATCATACATGTGAACCTCCCGAAGGGAATACAATAATCCCGTTTTCAGGGGTCTCCTCCCGACCTCCCGTTGAAGACAAAAAAATCCTGTGTATGAAATATTTCAGCCCAACATATCTGGTGTAACTGACATTACCTGAAGTTATATTTTACCCGTAAATCAATTAACATGATAATTATATGGCTTCACTTGTCACCTTGGGTGTCAAACATACTGGTAATCAACGATTTTTACATCAGGCTAACTGCCGTTGTGTAATAAAACTTTGTATATTTATAAATGAATGTTGGGTTACTTCCCTTGATTTATCCTGTTTTAAGTTACTTTCCTTTAAATAATGTAAATTTTTAAAAGAATATAAATAAAATATAAATTGAACAAATAATCATAAAAGGATGGTAATTAAATGATTTTAAATGTCTTAGGACAAATAAAAAAATAATAATTTGAAAATTATTTGAGGGTTCTATACTTCCTTTCAAGGCTTAAATTGAAATTTATATATTAACTATGACCCATAAATCCAGTTTGAATGTGTTACTTATCATGCATTAAAAATCAACTTGCATAAAGATTAAAATAAAAGATCTACTTGCAGATAGATAAGCAAATATTCTGATTGCAATGAATATTGGAAAAAAAGATATGACCTAAAAAATTTAAAGAACATACTTAAAAAGAAGAATGTTAGATTGAACAAGTTGAAAGTTTAAAAAAGATAGAGAAAATTTATAAGTACAAGGGTACTATAAACATAATACATTCGGATGGAAAGTTGAAGAAAGCACACTTTAACAGACAATTTCTACAGCACACGGTTACATTTACGACAGAATTTATGTCGATTAAAAACCTCCTGATCTGAGTCCTAATCTCCTGACCAAAATTTCCCAAACTCCTGATCATAGTTTCACAGTCCATCATATGTACTGCAAGGTACCATACCACAAAGGGAAGGCTGGGATTGTGTTTGAGGGTGATGAATCATAAGGGGGTTCAAAAAATTTTGGGGGGAGGGGGATTTTTTTTTCCTTTTTTTTCTTTGAAATTTTCCATTTTAAATTGGTTATTTCTGATTTATATATAAAAGCAAATAATAATGATATGGTTTGAATAGATAAATTAAAAATTTTTAAGTTCTTAGACCACATTCATTCTGTGTCAGAAACCAATGCTGTGTCAAATATTTAATTACAATCCAAATTCAGTGCTGTATCAAGCTTGAATGTTGTGTCCATACTTGCCCCAACTGTTCAGGGTTCGACCTCTGCGGTCGTATCAAGCTGCGCCCCAGCGAAGCATTTTATTCCATTTGTAAAGGAGCATAACTCTAGAACGGTAAAAGTGACACCACCAAATTCAAACTTGATCTGTGTTTTGTGGTAATTAGCATTGTGTAATAAGCTTCATATTATTTGGTTGAGGCAAAATTAAGTTAGAGAACGGAAACCAATTATGGGACGTACGGACGGACGTACGGAGGTACAGACGGACAAGGGTAAAACTTAATGCCCCCTCCGCTACAGCAGGCACATAAAAAAACAAGGTAGATGGGGAAAAGTTGGTATCTAATTTGTGCAATCAACTCCTACAGTTTGCAATACAGATCTGTGAAACTTCACAGAAAGACTGCACATGTGTTGAAGTTGTGCACCTGCAATTCTGGAATTGTTTCAGGAATTTTTTTCCCATTTTTCCAGACTTGGTCATTTTTAGCAAAATTTATTAGGAAGTTACTAGTTCTGTGTAATCATCTTCTACAGTTATCACCCCATCCTTTTGTAGGTACGGTTAATATGTACTGCTGAGAAAGAGCCTAAATATTTATTCCAGTCCAGTGCTATAAGTCAGCAAGATTACGAATCTAATAGAATGCTTATGGATGATCTAGGAATACAAGAGGTATGTATAGATTATTTACAAAATTTTTCTGGGATTTAAAGTGAGATTTAGGCTACTGTTTTCGTCAGCATCCGTGGAGTCAACAATTTATTATTTTGTGATCAGGTCAGTTTAAGGGGGACCACTAGTGGAAGGTTGATAATATTTGGTATGTAGTTGTATTAGCATTGAGGCATTTCATTTCTACTTAAGTTATTTGGCCCTGTACATTCAGTCATGGTTCATTGACTTTGAATGTTTTTCATATTTTATATGTTCAAGTATTGCCATTTTAATTTCAACAATGCATTATACTATCAAAATTACATAGAAGCGAGACAAATCTTTGTCAACAGTCTATGTAATAATATAATGAATAGATAAATATCTATTATACCACTGAATTAAATGTGATACAATATTTTTCCATTGAGACAGTCAAATTTTCAAATGTAAAATGCATGGCTTGTGGAGCTTTTTAAATATTGAAAATTAAACTGTCGAGAGTGGAGAAATATTGTATTACACGAGATTTAGTGGTGGAATCTGTTTCTCTAATGATTTTTTGACAGTATGTAGACAAACTTGTTCACTTATCTGCAAAAAGATGTGTTCTTATATGTCAGGCATGGTCATTTCTTTTTTTTTTCGTGACATTACAATCGGAATTCAGAGGAAAGTAAATTTGATGTCGTATTTGAATTTTGACCAATGTAAAACGGAGATCAAACCAATCACAAGTTGATTATAAAAAAAATAATCAGCTGATTGGGAAAAGTATAAATCGTGCAAGAATAAGAAAATATTCCTATTAATAGCTTGCATCTGTAAAAGCCATCCACTTACATGTTACAAATAATAAGTAATAATTTTTATGTATATAATTATGGCTAACTGGGATATGTGATTCAAAATAATGGCAAGGGTAGGATGGAGTAAAGTCTAAAGAAATAAGGTTACAAGGACTGTCTGTCCAGCAGTTAGACCTGTGCTAATGGCTACAGATCATGCCCTTGTTATATCAATGACAGTCAAAATTAGCAGCCCTTTCTTTTCATCCACCCAATTTTCAGATCTGTTGAATTTTTATAGTTTTACCGTCAAACTTCTTCATATCCCATCATGTGCATGTTACATACAGCAACAATAATCATAATATAAAATGATTTATTTCTTTTATAAAAGTACCATGTTGTAAATGCATATGTTTTAGTTAATATTAACTTTTTGGTTAGTTATTATATATTAAAATTTGTTTTTTTCTTTCCAGCAATCAGACTTGTCACAAGCTAGTATATTTACTGGAGAAGAGGAATTGTTTGCATTTGATAGGACAATATCACGACTTACAGAAATGCAAACAGAAGAATATTGGGGACACAGAGATCCAACAAAAAACTCTTGATGATGGCTTAATTTAGGAAATATATTGTGATATTAGTACCTCATTATGCAATAGTTGCTGTTATGTGATCCAAAGGGTAATGTTAGTTTTTCTCATCACTTGGCATTCATTGTCCATCCGTTAACATTTAAAAAAAAAATGAAACTCCGAAATTATGTGTCCAATTTGGACCAAACTTCACCTGAATCTTCTTAGAGAGTTTACTTTGTTTTTTTAATTTTTTTTTATTGTATTTCAAGCTGATTTATCAGTGTTATGAACGTTTAATTATACTTTCATAGTTTTGTTTAGCCGAAAATATTGTCCCTGGCAAAATTGACAGTTTCCTATTTTGCGTTACGAAATTCTGCCAACATGTGGCATTCGAATAACATCTTTTGTTTTCCAGTTTGTTATTAATACTACATTTCTGTAGTAACTGCATTTTACCTGCTTTATATTCCCAAATCGGCGCAAAGTCGGATGAAATTGTCCATTCCTTCAATATAATCCAATGTTTACGTATTCGCTAGTTTTAATACACACAGTTAACCTTAACCGGTAGTGACCTATTTTCTTACACGCAAGGATAAGGCGTGCTAAGTATTATAAAAAGGGGATTTTCCGAATAGCAAAACGAATTTGAACTGATCTTTACAGAAACTTAATAGGTAAATACTTCACGCACGAAAATCACAGAAAACCGTTAAACATATTGTACTTTCATTCTTTGTAGTAATTTAAAGTTATAATAATAATTTCTATTTCTTGAAATAGTAGTTTAGTTGTTATTTTATTTAGAAAACTTGGCTAAGGTATTTCGAAAAGCTATTGAATAGAATAAATATCTAGAGACTAAAGGTATTGTAAGAAAGATTGAGAACAATCTTTACAATCAGCATGGCCCCCCTTAAGTAATATAAATAAGAAATAAGGGTTAAGCAGTTTTTATTGCTGTCCCTTTTACTTTGCTGACAATTCAGAAATTATTAAGAAAATTAGGTTCCAACTCCCCCACATAAGTATCAATCTGGTAAACCTGCTTTACCTAATACATGTAACACCTGTTGATTATTCAAGAAAAAGTGAAGTTTCTTCTATGTTATGAATTATCCTTGCAAAAATTAGATCATATTTACAATATATTAGTATACCAGTTTTTAATGATATTTGAGCTTGGTTCTGTTAAGATCACTTTTGACCTAACTACAGATATGGGATTTAGAATTTCATGCTAAGTAGTTGTTTTTAAGCAGGATTAGGCTGGGTATGAGGAACTCCTGCCTAAATTTCTTCTGAGTGGGAACCCTAAAGGGGTTTACTACATTTTAAATGCTCAGGTTGTGCCAAATAACATATTACATTATTACATATTTGTTTCTTGGCAGCATTATTGAGTGAATGATGTAGACCATATGGAAATTACTGAAAATAGCATGTCATTTGAATCCTATTACCAGTTTGAATCAGACCATTCTGTGTCCTTCATGGTAAAATTTTATAAGTGTGATAAATCTGGTGAGCATTTCAGGCTCCTTGGAGCCTCTAGTTTTATTTATTTTGAATGAAATCTTGTACGATTTTAATTGTTATTAGAATTTTAATAAATAATTTTTAAGCAGATTCTCTGTATGAAATTGTTTTTGAAGAACACACTTAGTCTTAGATAAATGATATTTTTTATTAGTTGTTATTGGCTTTGAAATAGCTGTCAGTAACTGCAAGTACTCTCAGATCTGTACTTTGTGTTTTGTTTTTTTTTGTTAGGGATGTATAAATACCCTGCCACATGTGTTCTATGTTTTCTGCTTTGTATTGATCTGATGAGTTAAGCCCTTTTCAACTGATTTTTATACGACCGCAAAAATTTTGCGGTCATATATTGGTATGACGTTGGCGTCGTCGTCGTCCGAAGACACATTAGTTTTCGCACTATAACTTTAGTTTAAGTGAATGGATCTCTATGAAATTTTACCATAAGGTTCAATACCACAAAATGAAGGTTGGGATTGATTTTGGGGGTTATGGTACCAACAGTTAAGGAATTAGGGGCCAAAAATAAGCATTTTTGTAACTTCCAGACAATAACTTGTGTGTAAGTGTATGGATCTCTCTGACATTGTACCACAAGGTTCCATATCACAAAAGGAAGGCTGGAATTGATTCTGGGGGTAATTGCCTCAAAGTTTTAGGAATTAGGGGCCAAAAAAGGGGCAAAAAACAAGCATTTTTCTAGTTTCATGACAATAACTTGTGTGTAAGTTAAGTGTTTGGATATTTCTGAAATTGTACTACAAGGTTCCATATCACAAAGGGAAAGCTGGAATTGAGTTTGGGGGTAATTGCCCGAAATGTTTAGGAATTGGGGGCCAAAAATAAGCATTTTTCTAGTTTCCAGACAATAACTTGTGTTCAAGTGTATAAATCTCTCTGAAATTGTACTGCAAGGTACATACCACAAAGGGAAGGCTGGGATTGATGATGGGGGTAATTGCCTCAATATTTTAGGAATTAGGGGCCAAAAAGGGGCAAAAAGCATTTTTCTAGTTTCAGGACAATAACTTGTGTGTAAGTGTATGGATCTTTCTGAAATTGTACTACAAGGTTCCATATCACAAAGGGAAAGCTGGGTTTGCGTTTGGGGGTAATTGCCCTAAACGTTTAGAAATTGGGGCCAAAAAGGGGCCAAAAAACACATTTTTCTAGTTTTCAGACAATAACTTGTGTTCAAGTGTATGGATCTCTCTGAAATTGTACTGCAAGGTACCATACCACAAAGGGAAGGCTGGGATTGAGTTTGGGGGTGATGAATCATAAGGGGGTTCAAAAAATTGGGGGGGGGGGGGGTTTCTTTTTTTTTCTTTTTTTCCTTTTTTTTTCTTTTAAAATTTTCCATTTTAAGTTGGTTATTTCTGATTTATATTTAAAAGCAAATGATAATGATATGGTAGGAGATACACACCAAACAGGATGTGTAAATTATTATATAATAAGTATTGTGCAATAGCAAGAAATTTTCAATTGCACAGTATTGCACAATAGCAAGAAATCTTCAATTACACAGTATTGCGCAATAGCAAGAAATCTTCAATTGCACAGCATTGCGCAATAGCAAGAAATATCCAATAGCACAATATTGCGCAATAGCAAGAAATTGTCAATTGTACAGTATTGCGCAATAGCAAGAAATATTCAATTGCGCAGTATTGTGCAAAAGAAGATACTTCGTATAAATTGCTTATTTCTTGACCAATTTCAATGGGGTTTTATTCTTGAATTCTTGGGGTTCTTTAATATGCTGAATCTAATCGTGTATTAAGTTTTTGGATTTTGGGCCCCTTTTTATACGACCGCAAGAAAATTTTTGTGGTCGTATATTGGTATGACGTTGGCGTCGGCGTCGTCGTCGTCCGGCGTCGTCGTCCGGCGTCGTCTGGCGTCGTCTGAAGACACTTGGTTTTCGCACTCTAACTTTAGTTTAAGTGAATGGATCTTTATGAAATTTTACCACAAGGTTCAATACCACAAAAGGAAGGTTGGGATTGATTTTGGGGGTTATGGTAATAACAGTAAAGGAATTAGGGGCCAAAAAGGGGCCAAAAATAAGCATTTTTGTAACTTCCAGACATAACTTGTGTGTTAGTGTATGGATCTCTCTGACATTGTACCACAAGGTTCCATATCACTAAAGGAATGCTGGGATTGATTTTGGGGGTAATTGCCTCCAAATTTTAGGAATTAGGGGCCAAAAAAGGGGCAAAAAACAAGCATTTTTCTAGTTTCATGACAATAACTTGTGTGTAAGTGTATGGATCTTTCTGAAATTGTACTACAAGGTTCCATATCACAAAGGGAAAGCTGGGTTTGAGTTTGGGGGTAATTGCCCTAAACGTTTAGGAATTTGGGGCCAAAAAACACATTTTTTTCTAGTTTCCAGACAATAACTTGTGTTCAAGTGTATGGATCTCTCTGAAATTGTACTGCAAGGTACCATACCACAAAGGGAAGGCTGGGATTGAGTTTGGGGGTGATGAATCATAAGGGGGTTCAAAAAATTGGGGGGGGGGGGGGGGTTTCTTTTTTTTTCTTTTTTTCCTTTTTTTTTCTTTTAAAATTTTCCATTTTAAGTTGGTTATTTCTGATTTATATTTAAAAGCAAATGATAATGATATGGTAGGAGATACACACCAAACAGGATGTGTAAATTATTATATAATAAGTATTGTGCAATAGCAAGAAATTTTCAATTGCACAGTATTGCACAATAGCAAGAAATCTTCAATTACACAGTATTGCGCAATAGCAAGAAATCTTCAATTGCACAGCATTGCGCAATAGCAAGAAATATCCAATAGCACAATATTGCGCAATAGCAAGAAATTGTCAATTGTACAGTATTGCGCAATAGCAAGAAATATTCAATTGCGCAGTATTGTGCAAAAGAAGATACTTCGTATAAATTGCTTATTTCTTGACCAATTTCAATGGGGTTTTATTCTTGAATTCTTGGGGTTCTTTAATATGCTGAATCTAATCGTGTATTAAGTTTTTGGATTTTGGGCCCCTTTTTATACGACCGCAAGAAAATTTTTGTGGTCGTATATTGGTATGACGTTGGCGTCGGCGTCGTCGTCGTCCGGCGTCGTCGTCGTCGTCGTACGGCGTCGTCTGGCGTCGTCTGAAGACACTTGGTTTTCGCACTCTAACTTTAGTTTAAGTGAATGGATCTTTATGAAATTTTACCACAAGGTTCAATACCACAAAAGGAAGGTTGGGATTGATTTTGGGGGTTATGGTAATAACAGTAAAGGAATTAGGGGCCAAAAAGGGGCCAAAAATAAGCATTTTTGTAACTTCCAGACATAACTTGTGTGTTAGTGTATGGATCTCTCTGACATTGTACCACAAGGTTCCATATCACTAAAGGAATGCTGGGATTGATTTTGGGGGTAATTGCCTCCAAATTTTAGGAATTAGGGGCCAAAAAAGGGGCAAAAAACAAGCATTTTTCTAGTTTCATGACAATAACTTGTGTGTAAGTGTATGGATCTTTCTGAAATTGTACTACAAGGTTCCATATCACAAAGGGAAAGCTGGGTTTGAGTTTGGGGGTAATTGCCCTAAACGTTTAGGAATTTGGGGCCAAAAAACACATTTTTTTCTAGTTTCCAGACAATAACTTGTGTTCAAGTGTATGGATCTCTCTGAAATTGTACTGCAAGGTACCATACCACAAAGGGAAGGCTGGGATTGAGTTTGGGGGTGATGAATCATAATGGGGGTTCAAAAAATTTTGGGGGGGGATTTATTTTTTTTTCCTTTTTTTCTTTTTTTCCTTTTTTGTTTCTTTTAAAATTTTCCATTTTAAGTTGGTTATTTCTGATTTATATTTAAAATCAAATAATAATGATATGGTAGGAGATACACACCAAACAGGATGTGTAAATTATTATATAATAAGTATTGTGCAATAGCAAGAAATTTTCAATTGCACAGTATTGCACAATAGCAAGAAATCTTCAATTGCACAGTATTGCGCAATAGCAAGAAATCTTCAATTGCACAGTATTGCGCAATAGCAAGAAATATCCAATAGCACAATATTGCGCAATAGCAAGAAATTGTCAATTGTACAGTATTGCGCAATAGCAAGAAATATTTAATAGCACAGGATTGTGCAAAAGAAGATACTTCCTATAAATTGCTTATTTCTTGACCAATTTCAATGGGGTTTTATTCTTGATTTCATGGGGTTCTTTAATATGCTGAATCTAACCGTGTATTAAGTTTTTGGATTTTGGGCCCCGTTTTTAAATTGGTCCACATTGAGGTCCAAAGGGTCCAAAATTAAACTTTGTTTGATTTCATCAAAAATTGAATTATTGGGGTTCTTTGATATGCCGAATCTAACTGTGTATTTAGATTCTTAAATTTTGGTTCCGTTTTCAAATTGGTCTACATTAAGGTCCAAAGGGTCCAAAATTAAACTTAGTTTGATTTTAACAAAAATTGAATTCTTAGGGTTCTTTGATATGCTGAATCTAAACATGTATTTAGATTTTTGATTATGGGCCCAGTTTTCAAGTTGGTCCAAATCGGGGTCCAAAATTAAACTTTGTTTGATTTCAACAAAAATTGAATATATGGGGTTCTTTGATATGCTGAATCTAACCATGTATTTAGATTTTTGATTTTTGGGCCCCGTTATCAACTTTGTCCACATTGAGGTCAAAAGGGTCCAAAATTAAACTTTGTTTGATTTCATCAAAAATTGAATTATTGGGGTTCTTTGATATGCCGAATCTAACCGTGTATTTAGATTCTTAATTTTTGGTTCCGTTTTCAAATTGGTCTACATTAAGGTCCAAAGGGTCCAAAATTAAACTTAGTTTGATTTTAACAAAAATTGAATTCTTAGGGTTCTTTGATATGCTGAATCTAAACATGTATTTAGATTTTTGATTATGGGCCCAGTTTTCAAGTTGGTCCAAATCGGGGTCCAAAATTAAACTTTGTTTGATTTCAACAAAAATTGAATATATGGGGTTCTTTGATATGCTGAATCTAACCATGTATTTAGATTTTTGATTTTTGGGCCCCGTTATCAACTTTGTCCACATTGAGGTCAAAAGGGTCCAAAATTAAACTTTGTTTGATTTCATCAAAAATTGAATTCTTGGGGTTCTTTGATATGCTGAATCTAACCATGTATTTAGATTTTGGAGATTGGACCATAATAGGTGAATGTCCAATTTAAAATTTTTAAGTTCTTAGACCACATTCAATCTGTGTTAGAAACCTATGCTGTGTCAAATATTTAATCACAATCCAAATCCAAAGCTGTATCAAGCTTGAATGTTGTGTCCATACTTGCTCCAACTGTTCAGGGTTCGACCTCTGCAGTCGTATCAAGCTGCGCCCTGCGGAGCATTTTATTATAGTTTGTTCTTATGCTTTGCTGTAACACCACTGTCCCAGGTTTCATTGTAGAGAGAGAAAGTAATGATTAACATCTGTCTGTTTACACTTTGAAAGAAACTCCTATAAGGTCTGTTGGCGGTCATTTTATGTAGGATATTGAGTCATAATTTATAGATTAGCATATGGACCTAACATTTCAGTTGACAACTTTTGTAACTATATGAAACCTACATTTTTTTCTGGCAGCATTTTTTTTGTATTGTAATTGTTGTTGGTCTCGGACAGAATATATGTTTGTGCGATAACTTGTTTCAGCTGTCTGTTGGGCATATATCCCATGTCTTGTTTCATTGATATTATAAAAATCTGCTCTCTAGAACTACTGGTATAACTTTTTTATAAACTTTCACATAAAAAGTTAAAGCAGACATACATGAAGCTGTACAGACACTGTATACAATAAAAGATAATTCTGAAATGGCAATAGTGGAAATCCACTTAAACACTATAGATTCATCTTTCAAAATAAAACACTCTATAGATTCATCTTTCAAAATAAAACACTCTATAGATTCATCTTTCAAAATAAAACACTCTATAGATTCATCTTTCAAAATAAAGGAGGAGGTATGAAAAGAGCTTTTTTTTACTCATTATAAAAATAATGTGGTATGATTGCCAATGAGACAACTATCCACCCAAGTTCAAATGAAGTGGATGTGAACAATTATAGGCAACCATACGGCCTTCAACAATGAGAAAAACCCATACCGTATAGTCAGCTATAAAAGGCCCCGATATGAAAAATATGAAACAATTCAATAGAGAAAACCAACAGCCTAATTTATAAAACAATTTACAAAAAACATATATGACGACATGGAAACGAAAATTGCAAATGCCAATACATTTGCATACCAAATATCATTGACTTAACATTTGTGGTTCATCTTAAACTGACCTAATCACAAACTAATACATGTAAACTAAGCAAAAGTTTGTCAATATACCATGACTGAGGGGTAATGACCAAATTTTCTCCATGGAAATGAGATGTGCTAATGCTTATACAACTGCATACCAATTATCATTGACCTACCACTAACGGTTCCCCTTAAACTGACCTAATCACAAACTAATACAAGAAAACTAAGTAAAAGTTTCAAAGTCAATAAACCATGACTGAGGGGGCTGGGCCAAATAATCTCCATGGAAATGAGATATGCCAATGCTCATAAAACTGCACACCAAATATCATTGACGTACCACTAGTGGTTCCCATAAACTGACCTAATCACAAACTAATACATGTAAACTAAGCAAAGTTTCAAAGTAAATAGACCATGCATAAGGGGGCGGGGCCAAATAATCTCCATGGTAATGAGATGTGCAAATGCTAATACAACTGCATACCAAATATCATTGACCTACCATTAGTGGTTCCCCATAAACTAGACCTAATCACAAACTAATACATTGTTGCTGCCGCCGCTGGAAACAGCATACATATGTCTCGCTTTTTGACTCTGTCAAGGCGAGACAAAAATCATGTCAGTTTTATTGATAAATAAATATTGTGATATTCTCTAGTCATTCTTAAGACAAGCATGTCATTGATGATGGCATGTTTGACATAATATAACCATAAATTTTGTTTTACCTAATCTAAATATTAATGGTAAGATTTCAAATTAACCCATTTACCCAGTTACTCAATATTTTCTTAACATTTTGCTGCAGAATATCAATATTGTTATTCTAATTTAATACACAGACTTAACTGCTTATGTTCTTGTTACTGCTATTTACTTGTATTACTTGGTTGGTCCATGAAGTTTTTCAAGACTTGTTTTTCAAGGACCTTTTACAGCTTTCAGTATTAATGTTGGAGCCCTACAGTGATTTCTCTTTTGCATCATTCTTTTCTTGATATTTTCAATATTTTCATCTCATGGCATAGAAAATGACTTAGAAATAATTTCAACAACCATATTTAGTGATTTTAATGAGAGGGAACACATATGTACAAGAATGAATAAAATAAAATGTCTATTAACTTTTCGAGATCTGTTCTTTTAATATTCTGATACTCTGTTGTTGGTCTGAGGGTAACATGGCAATTTGTTGGTCTGTAAGCTGTAACACTTGCATAATTAAGGCAGCCTACAAAAGATTTGTAAAATATAGTTTGAACCTTTATACCTGTCACAACTAGAAAATACTGAATATTCACATAAAGAAGAATTCCATTAAGGAAAAAAAACTAAATTAAATGCATGTGAGATAACAAATGAATTCTTTATGAATATGGTGCAACTAAAAAATCACACTATATGTGGTAAAACAAAATATGCCATAAGGTAATACAAAGGAAAACAAAGAATGTTTTAATTTCTTATTACTGGATACACATATAAATCTGAGAACTGAGTCCCTGATTACCAAGAACTATTTCACATATAATGTATTCTAAATCAAGAAAAAACAAACCTTTTCTTGGTCTTGTGCTGATATCTGTCCACCAGATCCAAAGTTTGAAGGTAATTGTAATCCACCAGAACCCTGATAACAAAATAAAATATTTTACAAAAATGTTATCAGTGGTTTTACTCGATGAAGTTAATTTTAAAGAAACGTTTTTAATTTGTTTAAGCTAGATAGACACTTGAATATTTATGCAAAATGACTTTTATTTTCAGCATGAGAGATATAAGTATATATACATTTAAACATGACTAAAAAATATAAGTCATCATACTTATTTACAGAAGTCTATCACATTTCAATATTTAGTGACCTGTGAAATCTGGATCAGAGAGATATCCCTAATTTGCTACATGTATTAAAAATTGCAGTTCTGAGCAATCTTTTGACATTTATAATTTGACTACATGTTCCAGAATAAGTCAAAATGTTGTTTAGACCCTAAATTACACAAATGAAGTTTTTGAGAGTGAATTTGAGTAAAGATTAAATGACTTTATAAGCAAATGACACTGGTGTGAAATAAATTCTGAGGAAAATGACTTATTCTTTCCTTTTTAATTTTACTTACCAGCAAACTACTTAAAGCACCTGCTGAAGGAGCAACTGGACGTTGTGGCATCATTCCTCTTGGAGCTTGTGGCATCATTCTTGGATCCCTCATGTCTGCTCCAGGACCTTCTGGTCTCAAAGGTCTAGGCATATTTCCCATGGGTCCTCCTACAATGGGGATATAAGTAATGCATAAAAACATCACAGATCTCATTCAACATCATTTGATCTCTGGTGGACAGTTGTCTCATTGGCATTGTCTCCTTATTTTCATTTTAGTTAACAACTTCAATGCATCCACCTAACATACAGCTACATGTATATCATGTAAAACTTTAAGACTTGCTAAACAGGAAGTGACTGCTTGGCAGATATAAAAATATCTTATACTGCACAACTCACAATATTATAAAGTTCCAATCAAAATATACAAAAGCTGAGTACTGGTAACATGCAACGAAAAAACAGGAAGTGATTGCATGGCAAATCTGAAAATCGCTTACTGGTACACATCATCTCAACATATAAAGTTTGAGACCAAACAAATCATTCCTAAAATACAAAAGATGAGTTATATAAAGAGTAAATTACAAATGGATGAAAGATCAAACAGAGGGACAAGGTAATTGCATTATAGCACCCACTCAATAGCGTAAGAGCACTCAGAGAAATGGAGTAGGGTAATAATAAGCCCAGAAACAGTTAGCATCCTTTGATTTTTCAATATCTATGAAAAAAGTCCCTTGTGTGAATAGTGTTTTTAACAGATATAGGGGTATTTGCGAAAAATACCAGTCAAGGGACTGTAAAATTTACCGAGCCGCTAGGCGAGAGAAATTTGGTCCCAAGACTGGTATTTTTCGCAAATACCCCTCCATAACATGATATATCTGTTTAATTACACCGAATAGATTTGGATTGAAACTAATTCATAAACATGTTTATGCATAATTTTGAGGATAAGAGGATATTATCATAGAACTGTGGGAATTATACATGTACTAATACGTGTTAGCTCGCTTTTTTATGTAACGTCATATCAGAAAAATTTTGCTCGAGAGGGTAAAAAAGGAATATCCAAAATGGCAAATACCATGGTATTTGAGGCAAATTCACCGGCAGTGGTGAAAAACAGTCAAATTCGTTTGAAATGAGGAAAAAATATTAGAATATGCGAAAAATACACTAGCTATCAACCAATCAAAATCTGGCTTTCTTATATAAGGTGCAATTATACTTTAAATTTTGGTCATGAATTTTAAGGTACAGTAGTGATTGGTCCAGTTGAAAAGGTAAAAAATGAGTACATGTGAAGCTGTCAAATTGAATTCAAGACTAGTCCAGTCATTCTACCACAAAAAAATCACCTGACCATAAACAAATTGCAACAAAAAACTGGAGGCTCTCAAGAGCCTGTGTCCCTCACCTGTATTTACTGATGCTTTGAAAATCATGTAAAATACGGTTAAAATCATAATTAATAGTATTAGATATTAGATATTATAATGATATCTAAGATAATAACAAAAAACTGCAAAATTTCTGTAAAATTAATAACTCAGGGGCAGCAACCCAACAACGGGTTGTCAGATTAGTCTGAAAATTTCAGGGCAGATAAATCTAAATCTGATGAACATTTTTGCCACCTGTCAGATTTGCTCTAAATGCTTTAGTTTCAGAAAAAAACAAAAACTGCATTTTTACCCCTATGTTCTATTTTCAACCATGTCGGCCATGATGGTTGGAAGGCGGGGTCATCGGACAAATTTTTTAAACTAGAAACCCTAATAATGATTATGGCCAAGTATGGTTAAATTTGTCTCAGTAGTTTCAGAGAAGAAGATTTTTGTAAAAGATTACAAAAATTTACGAAAAATTGTTAAAAATTGACTATAAAGGGCAATAACTCCTAAAGGGGTCCACTGACAATTTTGGTCATGAAGACTTATTTGTAGATCTTACTTTGCTGAACATTATTGCTGTTTACAGTTTATCTCTATCTATAATAATATTCAAGATAATAACCAAAAACTGCAAAATTTCCTTAAAATTACCAATTCAGGGGCAGCAACCCAACAACGGGTTGTCAGATTTGTCTGAATATATAGACAGATAGATCTTGACCTGATAATCAGTTTTACCCTATGTCAGATTTACTCTAAATGCTTTGGTTTCAGAGATATAAGCCAAAATCTACATTTTACCCCTATGTTCTATTTTTAGCCATTGCGGCCATCTTGGTTGGTAAGCGGGGTCATCGAACACACTTTTTAAACTAGATGCCCTAATGATGATTGTGGCCAAGTTTGGTTAAATTTGGCCCAGTGGTTTCAGAGGAGAAGATTTTTGTAAAAGCTAACGATGACGCCGGACGCCAAGTGATGAGAAAAGCTCACTTGGCCCTTTGGGCCAGGTGAGCTAAAAATTTTGACTCAATTCAAAGGCTGATAGGCCCTCTATCACATATCAAAAGTCTTGCAAAACCTGAAGTGCCATTACAGCAAAATGCATCTTTGACTAGCTTGCTTGCTAGGTGAACCGTGAAGTCATTATTAGGTAAGGTATCCTACCCTCCTTTCAGAGTAGTCTAGTCCTACAGACAGATAGATTGGTTATCTGTCAGACTAGTCTACTATTAAGGGGGGAAGTATACCTAACTTAATAATGACTTCATGGTTCAGCTAGCAAGCAAGCAAGCTAACCAAACATATTACCTTTACCTATACACTCAATGCATTTTGCTGTAACAGCATTTTTGGGTCAGAAATACAAAATTTTCTCAAAAAAAACAAACATTTTTGTTGGGTTCGTTAAAATTTTTTTATCCATATCTGCAATAAATTCTGCTGTAATTATTTTAACATATTTCATAGATTGGCTAGACTAGACACACTTAACATAACATTAAATATAAAAATAAGAAGATGTGGTATAATTCCCAATGAGACAACTCTCCACCAGAGACCAAATGTCATAGAAGTTAATGTCTTTATTTTTAGTTAGAGCTAATGAAGTTTTCTATAATTTTTAAATAATTTGTCTCAAAAGAAGCACACTATACTGTAAAAATCTTTGAGAATTTTTTTTAATTTGCATGTATTTTCTCAAAGAAATGCACTACCAAATAACTGTGTTCATGGGCCAATAGTAATTGATATTTACCCATCATTGCTCTCATGGGTCCACCTAAATCTGGAGTCGGTTGAAGCCCTGGAATACCTGGCATGCCTGGTAGGCCTGGTAGACCTGGTATACCCATCCTTGATCCTAATCCACCCATGACTGGCTGCATTGGTAGGGGCATACTCATAGCTGCAGCCATACTTTGAGGAATAGAAGTCTGCGGCCTTATTCCTTACAATAAAATAAGTTTGCTGCATTAACAAAACTTACAAATACAAATTATTCATCTACTTTCACAATAACTTAAGCTAATGCTTGGTTATAAAGCAATAGATATTGATAATACCATTTCTCACAATCTTGTATAGATAATCTAGCTCAGACATACTTCATGTACTGTCATTATTTTGCACAGTTAGTTCATCACTATAAAGTTTCCCGATTTTTTGCCCTTTCATTAAGAATTGTTAATTGAACTTGGCAGAAATAATAATAATAATAATAATAATAATGATATCTTTATTTAAATATGTGTATTGATATCTAACAGAAAAGATCTTAAATCTTGCTGTATATACATTTTGTAGTAAATGTTGCTCCTTAAAACAAATACTGGTAAAAATGCAGATGAATCAGTTTAGGTAATAATTAACAGGTACATGCCTTTATAAATATCTGCCAAATGACCCAATTGGTTCACCAATCCCGTAATTTACAGGTATATTATACATACCAGCCAAATGACCCAATTGGTTCACCAATCCCGTAATTTACAGGTATATTATACATACCAGCCTACTGACCCATCATCATTCCTGTAATTTACAGGTATATTATACATACCAGCCAACTGACCCATTTGGTTCATCATTCCTGTAATTTACAAGTATATTATACATACCTGCCAACTGACCCATTTGGTTCATCATTCCTGTAATTTACAGGTATATTAAACATACCTGCCTACTGACCCATTTGGTTCATCATTCCTGTAATTTACAAGTATATTATACATACCTGCCAACTGACCCATTTGGTTCATCATTCCTGCAATTTACAACTGACCCATTTGGTTCACAATTCCCATAATTCACAGGTATATCATACATACCTGATAACTAACCCATTTGGTTCACCATTCCCGTATTTCACAGGTACATTATACATACCTGCCTACTGACCCATTTAGGTCACCCTTCCTGTAATTTACAGCTGACCCATTTAGTTCACCATTCTCGTAATTTACAGGTATATTATACATACCTGCCTACTGACCCATTTGGTTCATCATTCCTGTAATTTACAAGTATATTATACATACCTGCCTACTGACCCATTTTGTTCACCATTCCTGTAATTTACAGGTATATCATACATACCTGCCCACTGACCCATTTTGTTCACCATTCCTGTTATTTACAGGTATGTTATACATACCTGCCTACTGACCCATTTTGGTTCACAATTCCCGTAATTTACAGGTATATTATACATACCTGCCTACTGACCCATTTTGTTCACCATTCCCGTAATTTACAGGTATATCATACATACCTGCCCACTGACCCATTTTGCTCACCATTCCCGTAATTTACAGGTATGTTATACATACCTGCCTACTGACCTATTTGGTTCATCATTCCTGTAATTTACAGGTATATTATACATACCTGCCTACTGACCCATTTGGTTCATCATACCTGTAATTTACAGGTATATTATACATACCTGCCTACTGACCCAATTGGTTCACCATTCCCGTAATTTACAGGTATATCATACATACCTGCCCACTGACCCATTTTGTTCACCATTCCCGTAATTTATAGGTATGTTATACATACCTGCCTACTGACCCTTTTTGGTTCACCTTTCCTGTAATTTACAGGTATATTTAACATACCTGCCAACTGACCCATTTGGTTCACCATTCCTGTACTTTACAGGTATATTATACATACCTGCCTACTGACCCATTTGGTTCACCATTCCCATAGTCTACAAGTTTATTATACATACCTGCTAACTAACCCATTTGGTTATTTTGAGTAAATAAAAAATGTTTAAATTGAACCCATTTGGTTCTTATTTCTGTAATTTACAGGTCTATTATACATACCTGCCAACTGACCCATTTGGTTATTTTGAGTAAATAAAAAATGTTTAAATTGAACCCATATGGTTCTTATTTCTGTAATTTACAGGTATATTATACATACCTGCCAACTGACCCATTTGGTTCATCATTCCTGCTACACCAGCAGCTGTACTCATAGTTCCAGGCTAAAATGACCAAAAGAAGATGTCAAATAAAAAGACACAGTTAAAAAATGCTCCTCACTATTTTAAGAAAGTAGTTTTTAATTCCAAGCAGTGAGTAAGTGGCAGAGTAAAAAATGAAACTCATTATAAACAATAACTGTAGAATCTCTATATTTCTAACAAAACAAGCTTCTGTAATCATTCTTTTACATTTAATTAAGGTAACTTTAATAGGTAAAGATGTTTTGGTGTTACTGTAGGAGGTAAAACATGTATGCAAGTAACTGGAAAATTATATCTAAATCTTTTTGATTTGAAAAAAAACAATTGCAAATGAAATGACATTTGGTATATTAAACACACAATAACTCATGTCTGACTTACCTGGGCAGCCAATGCTGTTGAAGCAGAACTAGCTGCTGATGATGCTGGTGGAATCTGATTTTGATCTCTGTGTAACATTGCCTATAATATTATCAGATTGACTTATATTCTGTAGCTAAATAAGTTTAGACTTCACAAGATCAGATAATGAAAAACATTGAATGAAATACTGATTTTTATACACATATACTGCTCATCTTTGAAGATAGTATAACATCCTGGATATTAACCTTTGTGTAAAACTGTTTCTCAATTCACTTTATCTGGGGTTTTCTATGTTCTTATCTCTCTGCCAATTTCTGTTCTATTTCTGTTTTTCTTTATAATAAATAGGCAATTTATCATCAAAAGTTTTCTTTTATTCAAATAAAATTTCTGACACCTATTTGTGTGTTCAATTTTCATACCAGAATTATACCAGGTCTAGACCAGCATTGCTGCATGCAATTGATTACAGTAACAGGTGTACTGAAGCATATCTGATGAAGATGATAACTATATTCAATTGGACTTTCAAATAATGTACTTTCATTGAGGTAATGTTAAGGCATGAAAATGTTTGAATATGATAATTTATTTAGCTGAACAATTATTGTATTTCTGAAAAGGTTTGAAATGTTCCTTGTGTTGTAAAATTGCAAACTATCACAAAAAAGGATGTGGCTGCACAACAGAGGTAAAAATTGCTAACAGAATTCAACTGAACATTATCAAGCTCCATACCAAATACAGTAGACTCCACCTAATCGGATATCGGCTAAACGAATATATCGGCTATTGTAATATTATTTCAAAACACCAAACCCTTCCCTATATGTTTAATGTTAATTTTATCGTGTAATCGAATATCGGATATAAGAATATATCGGCAAATCGGATAAGAATATTCAGGTCATTTTGTTCAAAACCATGCACAATCGGATATTTTCAATGTTTTTCTGACAGGAAATGGACCCGGAAGTTACGAATTTACAATCTTGCAGACAAGAAGATTTTGTTTTTACTAAATAAAAGGAACTATTTCTTAATAAATTGTTATCTTTAATCATTGCCTTCCTATGTCATGTGAATTAGATGCCCTTTTACTTCAAATGGTTTGAATTTATTTATAAAATATGCAAGACTCAGTTGACAAGTTGACGTTGCTGTTTGGAGAATTTTGATTAACTCTAAATGTTCACAGAATCAGAAATATAATATAAACTGAATGTACCTCCTTCTGAATAATTTATTACAATATAAATATAAATCCCTTTTGACAAGAGAAATCTGACTTTTGTCAGATATATTTTTTTCACATGTGCAAAAGTAACCACATGTCATGGACGCCATTTTGGATGTTTACAAATTTGTGAGAAAGCCTCTAGAACTATGACCTAAATATAAATAGTCTTCAGAAAACATAAACTTTATGCAATAATATTTTATCAATCATGATGATTTTCATAAATTTAAATTTGATTATTTAAAGAAATAAAATTATAACAAATACGATTTTAGTTTGGAGATTCTACACAGACATGCTTAGATCTATTTATAGCCAAATTAGTTTACCTGTGTGATAATGTAAATAATGGATATTAATTTGCTTACAAAACAAATAAAGACAAACTATGGATGGTAGATAATAATTCACATAAATATTTCAAGACATTTGATTTATTTTAATAAATAAAGGATTTAAAAACTGCAAACAAATTTAATCATTACATAATCAGCTGATAATTTTTTACACAAACATCGTGGTGATGTAACTGATAAAAATCACTCCATCAATCCTCCAGCCCTTTCACATATTTAGCAATTGTCAGGGTTAGTAACATCTCAGGATTATATCTACTCATTATTGCAGAATATTCAATGAATATACATTCATCGTCTAATTGAATATATCGGGTAATCGGATATTTTTAGCTGACATTTTGGGTATCCGATTTGCCGGAGTCTACTGTATAAAATTATTCCCTTTCATAGAAGCCAAGAAATTATTGATGAAAATCTTCAGTGTACAATGACTGTTGTAAAATATAAAGCTTATCAGTACATCAAACAGGAAGTGACTATTGACAAAAGTTTTCTACCAAAGGTCTTTAAGACTGACTGACCTGTAGAGCGGTTGGCGGCACATGTAAAAAAAATGCTTGAACTGTTGATAGCTAGAATGAAATTAAACCGTAAGGCAGTTCACAATAACATGCTGTTAAAAATTTTCTCAAAAATACTTAAGTTTTCAAATCCATTTCTATGAAAAGAATATAGTGATTTATTTACCATGGCGACTTGTGGATCTACAATTTTCATGACTATCTGGGCCTGTAACAAAGCATAAGCCAACTGTGGATTCTGTAGTAACATATTTCTGGCTTCTGTTGGATTATTCTGGATACACATCTATAAATATAGAGTTCTAATACTTAATGAGCAATTATTCAACATGGAATGAAGTTTTTTAACCTTTCGCATATGTTTTCAATTTGTAACGATTCATGATTCATCAAAATGTATCAAATTCTACTTGTGGATGAATGTAGGTAAACATGCAGACACTTTTATTACGTAACTTGTTCTATCCTCCTACATTATATCAAATTTTTCAATAATTTTTGCACTGGATAAACCAGCATTGCGAATGATTGCAAAGCTATTTCCAGCAATAGGATCTCTTACAATAACACATGTATGTAAAAAACTTTCTGCAGTGTTCAAACATTAAGAAAAGAAATGCTGAGTTATAAAAAGGAAATAAAACACTATTTATCATACTTTCATTTGCTTCATTAGTTCAAACATCTGTTCTGGAGGTAGACTAGCAACAGCTTTTGATATGGCCTCTGGTGCTTTTTCTGCTTCAACTGGTTCACCATAAGGACTCTGGAAAAAAAAAAAAATGTTGTTCATTTCCTAGAGCATTTTATGATTTCACAATTGTATTACCTCAGTGATGTCTGTTTATTTATTTCTATGTCGGTGTATTCCCTGTGATTAAATCTTGCTGGTCAGTCTTACTGGTAGAAAATTCAGTTTACAAGGTACTGACCTTTGGTCACTAATCATAGACAAAATTATCACATGCCAATGCAAATAAAACTGCATATTAATTATCATTGACTTGTCATGTATGGTTCCCCTTTAACTGACCTTTTCACAAGCATGTAAACAATGCAAAATTTTCTAAGAGTCAAGAAACCATGACTGAGAGGACAGGGCCATATAACCTCCATGAGAATGAGATGTGCTAATAAAAGCAAATTAAACAGCATACCAAATACTAACTATTAGTATTTCACCTTATACTGACCTAATCACAAACTTTAACATGTAAACTATGAATAGGTTTCGAGTCAATAAACCACGACTGAATGGGGCAGGGCTAAACCATCTCAAGGCAGATAAGATATGTCAATGGTTATATATCACCCTTAGTTGTTTCTCTTAAACTGACCTAATCACAAACTTTAACAAATTGTTGAATCCACTGACAAAGACAGCAGAACCAGCATGCCAAAGTCTTGCCTCAGCAACCTTTGCAAGACAAGACAAAAACTGACTGATTGCAAAACATTGAGCAACAAATGCCATTTCATTTTCCATGTAAAGATGTCATACAAACCTCCATGATAGGTCCACCTATAGCATGTTGCATTCCTTTCATTTCATCTCTGTTTTGTTCTCCTGCAGCTACCCCAACCCTCAGGGGACGTCCATTAAAGTCATAGTTGTTCAGATTTCTCATGGAACTTTGAGCTGTCTCAATGTCTTGATATTCACAGAAGCCATATCCTTTAGGCTTGCCAGTCTCTCTATCATACACTAACCTGAAATAAACAATTATATTTGCAAAAAAAGACATTTAAGTATTTAATAATGATATACTTCACATACAAATATAATAAATATGTTGACAGGGATTTGCAAGAAAAAAGTCTTATTAATGATCTATAAGTAGAATGGGAAATCTGAAACAACTAACAATAATGAATTTAACAATGTGGCAGATTTTAATCAATGATAAAAGACAAAGTGTTCACGAGAGACTCTGTATTTCTATTTAGTTTAAGGAAAAAGTTAATTTGTCACAGGCAATCAGAAAAACGTTAATGTCTAACTTGCAAGTTTGTGTTTTTAAAAGAATTTTGATTCTGCAAATTATTATAATAAAATAAAAAAAAATCAAGATATAAACAGTTCACCAAAGTTTCATGAAAACTGCTCAAAGCGTTTTTGAGTTATTGTCCAACATAATGATGACGGACGGATGGACGGAAGGACAGACAACGGTATACCATAATACGTCCCGTAAACGGGCGTATAAAAAGGATTGTGTCTGCATTCCTACAGATCATGTAAATGGATTGACAAAGGAATATTAGGGATGTTATGTAGGTGTTTTAATACATGAAAGGTGTAACTTAGCCTTCATAAAATTAATAAAATTGAGAATGTAAATGGGGAATATGTCAAAGAGACAAAAACCCGACCAAAGAGCACAAAACAGCCCAAGGCCACCAATGGGTCTTCAACACAGCAAGAAAATCCCGCATCCAGAGGCGGGCTTCAGCTGGCCCCTAAATAAAAATATGTACTAGTTCAGTGAAAATGGATGTCTGACAGCCACACTAAACTCCGAAACATATACCTTAGAATACTTACCTTATGCTGATATGTTCCTTAGTTGGTATTTCTGCGAGGCAATACATGTAATAATTTGGACAGTCAAGTGGTTTTACCTTTCCGACTGGTGAAATTTTTAAACTTGTACAATTGGACACGTTGCATAAAATCTAAGGATAAAACCTTGCTTGTAAATCATTTTTCCTTTTTATATGTCACTGCTTTATTGCCAATCCTTTAGTTGTTAATCATCATGCATAAGCATGAACATTACATCTTTTACCCTTTTATGTTGTAATGTGTAATATAATTATAAATATACAAAATAAATATACATGAAGCATTTACCTCACCAACGTAGATAATCTTAATTTAATAATCATCTATTATATTCTTACCTAAAACTAACAACAGGTCCAGCTTGAGCAAAAATTTCTTTCAATTTTTCTTCTGTAGCTTCATATGGAATGTTTCCAACTGAAATTATGAACAAAAATACATGTATATAGTAAAATCTAAAATATTTTACTGAAGCTATTATATACACATGTATAATTTATAACTTCCTGTTTTGTTAAACAGCAAAATGAAAGTAACATAAACTGAAAGACAATCATAGATAGTTTAGGCTATCTAACTACTAGCTTATCCATTCTGTCCATCTAATAGAGTGAACATGCTTTTTCTTTTGTTTTATCGCCAAACTTAACAAATACAATCAAATAATATAAACAGCATTTGTATTCAACAAAGAAAACAAATCTTGACTGTTGAAGGATGGAAAGAAACATCTTCATGAGCTGTGGTCATGGTACTGGTAGTATTTATTTTGGTTGTGTTGTGTTGTTGGATTGCTTTCTAATTGATGTATAATTCATATCTCCTTTAATCATGTTAATACATCAAAATTGGTCTTTACAATGTTTGAAAAAAATTTGAACCAGTCCAGTGTGCCATTTTGTTTTTAATTCTGTTTTTAATTTCTTTTGCTTTTGTCATGTTTGTAACTAAAGACAATCCAACTAAGGTAACCAGCCCATGAACAAGTTCAAGGAATTTCGTCACAACACTTTGTGACATGAAAATGGTTACTTTCTTCTTTGATACAGGTCCTGTTAACTGACAATGAATCATTGTAAGCATGGAACATCATCAAATTAAATTTGTGCTATATTCTTTATAAATGCAACAATAATACTAAAGTAACATTTATTTTTATCTAAAAAGTTAAACACACATTTCTCAATTCTGGATGTTGACTGAAAATAGGGTTAAAGATGACCAGAAGTTCTGTTTTACATCATTCTGAGTAAAAGTAAATTTTAACCAGCATTCTGAGAGTATCATGAGTATTGCATGGCAATACATAGTCCCTTATCGGTTAAGAATTCATTGTACTGGAACAAAAGGCTAATTATATATATATAACTTGATCTATAACTTGTCATGATGTAAACTATATAATAAAAATATCAAGTCAATATCTTCAAGCATGATGAAAAAAAGTGTGGAAAACTGATTATTTGAGTGAATTTTTATAAGTCCAAGGACCATAACACTGCACAAAATCATCAGACCGGAACAAAATTCCAACTTGATCTGTAACTTGTCATGATAAAACTATATACATTTGTACCAACCATTAAATCAATATCTTCAAGCATGACAAAAAAAGTGCGGAAAAATGATTATTTGAGTGAATTTTCTAAGTCCAAGGACCATAACTCTGCACAAAATCATCAGACTGGAACAAAATTCGAACTTGATCTGTAACTTATCATGATAAAACTATACACCATATTTCAAATCAAAATCTTCAAGCACGAAGATAAAAAATGTGGAAAACTTATTTGCCGGACTGACGGATGGACAAGACAAGACAAGACAAGACAGAGTGCAAACCTAAAGTCCCCTTCAGACTTGAACAAACAAATGAAAAGATAAAATAAAACATACAACTATATTCATGGTAAAGAATTTGTATCAATTTATGTTATATTATTGCATGTTTATTAAAAAAAAAAATTTAATTTACCAAACATCATGCATATGTATAATATCTATTTAAGAAAAGAAGTTTATTAGGTCCTCATCATAATGATCTCATCATTTGATAATTGTTTCTTCAAATGGATCAGTCTGTTCCAAAAACTTTTCAAAGCACTAGCCCATCGGGCTAGTTGAATAAAAAAAATTACTAGCCCGAATTGATGTTTACTAGACCTGAAAAATGTGTGTCACTGGTGAGGATCACGAAGTGATCCGAACCTTCTAGGAGGGTTTGGGGGCATGCCCCCCAAGAAAATTTTGGAAAATTAGATGTAAAATCCAGCATTCTGAGGTTACATTTTTGTATCTGTAAGTGAATATAACTTATCAAAAATTGTTGTTTTTTTCTCCAGGTCAAATGTAAAATTCTCATTTTCTTCAATAAAAAATTAGAATAGTTCTTTTGCAAAACTCGTACCATTTCAAGTAAAAAGACATTTTAAGCACTAGTAAATTATTACTCAACTTAGGGATTGTTACTTTTTGGGGGAAAAATTCCCTCATTGTCATTGATGGATGATCCCAACCAGTTTAAAATTAGGCACTGGCTACGGTTACATGGAAATGTAACAATAATATAAAAATTATTGTTACATTGGAGACTAATTGCCGGAATGCAGGGTTGGGTAAGGAACCGATTAATTACGAATGTAACAATAATATTTGGGTCTACGGTTACATTGCGTTATTGTTACATTAATGCACTGCAATGTACGATGGGAATAGTAATAAATATGTATTAAAATAAAACTTGAAAACTTTTATTTGATATTTACAATATTGCATACAATATTTTGATTTTTTTATTTACAATGACAGTTTCTACAAATCCAGTATGTTGTTTTTGGAGCATGAAACCACTCTAAGCAGCCATCACAAACCAGTGATACGGCAATGTGCACGCTCTATATTGCATACCGTACAATTCCATTCTGCATTTTCCCTTTATGAAGTTTAAGAAACTTTCAATGTCTGAATGCCATGCTTCAGGTGAAAAATATTTTGTTACTCTTGCGATGTTTACATTTTCGTCCAATATTTTTTTTGGAAGCATGTTAGGTTGTTTAAATACAAGTTAATTGTGAAAGCAATTAATGTTGACATTTGCCGACAGATTGAAATTGGTGGAAACAGTGTTTTCATCTTCAGAGTCCAGATATTTTGTGATCTTATCAGTCGTGACAGTACATGCTCTATTGAACAGTTCATTAAGTATTCAAGTGATATTCGCTGAATAATATTATTATTATTAATATTATCTAGTACATATCGAAGAATTAAGCAACATAACTATAGAAGGTTTAAGTTTCATAAATCTATCATACATTGCAGTCTTTAATGTAACAATAACGCAATGTAACCGTAGACCCAAATATTATTGTTACATTCGTAATTAATCGGTTCCTTACCCAACCCTGCATTCCGGCAATTAGTCTCCAATGTAACAATAATTTTTATATTATTGTTACATTTCCATGTAACCGTAGCCAGTGCCTTAAAATTATTCCTAATATTCTTTCATATTTTTGTTAGTCTTAACAAGGATTCTTAAATGTCAAAGTTTAGTTTAAATTCTCTGGCACTTCTTTTTGATCTGGAAGGGGCCTTCATTTCTGTATTCTTTATTTTTTATGCTATTTTTCTCAATTCTTTATGTTTTATCAATTTTTTTCTAAACAAATATTCTTTATGTTTTTTGCCCATTATTCTCTATTCTATAAACCCCTATCAACACCCTCTTTATTGTCACTTTCGCCGTTAATTTTGACTTTTGTTTAAAATAATAAAATGCCTAGATCGTTTTCTGCATAGGTTTTTTAAACTCAAAACTCGAAACTTCTCCGGTTATTCATGAAGGCATTTTCAACTTTTCAATGTTTTACCTGGGATAGCCCCCTGTTTCCATTTCAGAATCGAATGAGATCGAATCCTTGATTGTTTGTTTACATTGAGTGGTATTTATAGATTGTGTTTATTGTTTTTTACTCGATTTCATTGGTGATTGGGTATATCGCGTTGACGACTGGTTCCAATGAAGGGGAAACACCCGTATATAATTAAATAGGGATACCAGTTAACGGAAGAAAACAAGGTCGGCGACAAATTTGTAACTTGTTTTTCATAGATTCAATAAAATACCGGCTACAATTTCGCAAACGATTTCAGATGTTCACAAGACCGGTCGGGCAAACACCAGTGCTTCTGCACAAGTCCGATGAGATTTTTACTAGACAGGGGCTTCGGGCTACTGCTTAATGTCGCAGACTGATGGATCTATTTTTTTTTTATCCACAAGTAACATTGTTTATTTTCTAATTTTCTTCTTCCAGTAAGCAGTAAACTGGTTAATTATCCTTGCCTCATTCTATTTTCTAATATCAAATATATGTTAATCAAGCACTTAACATAATAAAGTCAAAGGTCAACATTAATTTTTGTTGTCGTAACCAAGTGTAAAGTTAGAAACAGTCTTCTATCCTTGCGTTTCACAGTCATTGCAAACATTATGACAAAATTACTTTTCGTTAAATAATATTCCTTTTCAAAAACAAACTTCTGTCAAAACAATTAATTTAATTATGTTAAGAACATTATGATATAGTGTGGCCAAATGGTTTTAGAGGCAGAACTTCTTGAAAATGCCCATCAGCAGATATACAGATCGTGTTACTTTACTTTCTGTTTCAGTTAAGTATTCTTGTTATACTTTTTTTCTGTCAATTTTTCAGGAGAAATTATAAGTTAACCCTTTCGCCGATGAGTCACGCTTCAGCAGCTGACGATGAGTCCCGTTTTATTGACATTAATTATGAAGATCTCCTACTTGAGTTATAGTAGCCAGGGAAGCCATCGTCTCAGAGTAGCTTCTGTCTGGGCAGCTATCGGTGAAAGAGTTAAGGTATATGTGCTAATATAAAAATAAGATGTGGTATAATTGCAGTGCTGTCAAGTCTGGCATAAATCGCAATTTGCATGAGACTCATGCATTTTCATGCTTACTGTTTTTTTCTCTTTGATCTTTACAATTTTTGCCAAATCTCACACATAATTGCTTCATGAAAACTTGATAGCCCTGTAATTGCCAATACAACAAATCTCCACCAGAGACCAAATGACATAGAAGTTAACAACCATAGGTCACCGTACGGTTTTCAACAATGAACAAAACCCAAGTTCATACAAATTTGTAGCAATACAATGACAATGTATCATGTATAGGAGACAACAATGTCAATGGAATGAGTAAAGGGGAGACAATCGAACATTAGCAGTTGTTTCTCTATTTCAGTGGTGATCAGTAGTTCATGTGGAAATAAGCTAATTAAGATGATTTCACATTTTTTTCAAATTACCAAAAACAGATCTATTAGCCCTTTCTTGAGCTGTTAACGGAGGTGGCATTAACTGAGTGTTTTGTTGCATGGGGGCCGCCATCTTCAAATTTATCCTTTAAATCGTGTTTATCAAAAATAGTAATACATATCTGATCAATAAATTTGTAGTATCTTCTTTATATACGAATAATATAAGAGTTAAATATTGCAACAACTTAAGGGTTAGGTATCACATCTAAAAATATATTTTCTTTTATTTCTGTTAGAGATTTTAAATCTTAACTGCGTTTGTTGATAAACTAATTTTCTTAACAATCCAAGCCTTTATTTGCCCCAGATTTTAAAAATCCTTGCTAGATGTAAATCTTTGACCTCCAGCGTTCTCTTAGGAAAGTTCATAAGATGGCAAGCTTAACATGGTCAAAATATTTCATGAGGTGAAAAAAGTTCCATACCAATTTTATTCTATGAAACAAATAAAATAATCAAGACCTTTTGAGTCAATAATGAATATTTAAGGTTCCCCAAAAGCCTGAAAAAGAACTATTGACACATAATTCATAAATATACAATGTATCCTCTGTAAAATAGGTACATATCTGCTTCTGCTTCTGCTTCTGCCAGATAATGGCCACAATCAACAAACTGATTATACTGCCATGGTTTGGTGCGCATATAAGACCACCCCCCTCCCCCCAAAATTTTAAAATTTAATTCAGCTTTGTCATCGAGGCTTTAAAGGCCTCGACTGACGGTGCTGATACGACCCCAGGAGGAAGAGCGTTCCAATCCCGGATGGTTCTTGGGAAGAATGAGTGTTTGCGGTAATCACAGGATGCTGATGGTACTTGGAAGGATTTATCATGCATGTTTCGTGTCAGTCTTTTTGGTGGTATTAGACGACCTTCCTTTGACATGGCCACTTTGTTGTTTTCTATTTTGTAGAGCATTGTGAGTCTCGCTTCTTTCCTTCTTTGTTCCAGGGATGTCCATTTGAGATGTTGTAGCATCATGTTAACGCTGGAGTGGTTATGATGTTTGTTAGATACGTAGCGAGCTCCTCTTCTTTGTACCATCTCAAGTCTGTCAGTCTCTATCTTAAGATATGGATCCCATACTGGACTGGCATATTCTACAATTGGACGTACCAATGTTTTGTAGGCATTCTCCTTCACTGTAGTTGATCCTATATTTAAATTTCTTTTAAGGAAACCAATTGTTCGATTTGCCTTATTACATATGTTATTTACGTGATCATTCCATCTGAGTTCGGATGTAAATGTGCAGCCTAGGTATTTTGCACTGCTGACTGACTCAAGAATATGACCATGTAGGCTGTATGAAGTTGCAATTGTGTTGTTTTTCCTGCTGATGGTGAGTACATTGCATTTGTCAGGGTGGAATGACATTTTCCATTTTGATTCCCATATTCCAAGTTTGTCCAGATCTAGTTGTAAGTCATGCGAATCTTTGTCTGATGATACCGTAAGGTAAGCTATTGTATCATCTGCAAATAGTCGGACTGTAGATTTAATTCCATCGGGCATGTCGTTAATGTAGAACAGGAATAGTGAGGGCCCAAGTACTGAGCCTTGGGGTACTCCTGACTCTACATCAATATGAGATGAGCTTTCTCCATCCACGACTACTGCTTGGGTTCGATTAGACAGAAAGCTAGCGATCCACTTGTTGACATTTCCTTGTATACCATAGTGTTCTAGTTTATGTATCAGGAGACTGTGACTGACCTTATCAAAGGCTTTCGAAAAGTCCATAATGAGTACATCTGTTTGCTTTCCTGCGCTCATGTTGTTAGTGATGTCATCCACAAATTCAATCAACTGGGTTTCGCATGATCTTTTGCTACGAAATCCGTGCTGTAATGGATATAGAATGTTGTGGAGATCTGCATGTTTCATAATATGACTAGTTATTATGTGTTCCATGAGTTTACAGCAGATGCATGTCAGAGATATTGGTCGATAATTCTCTGCCTTGTATCTCTCTCCTTTCTTGAAGACTGGGCTTACGTTGGCGTTCTTCCAGTCAGATGGTACTTTCCCAGTTTTTAGTGATGTTGTAAAGATGATAGTTAGAATTGGGGCTATCTCGATTGCAAGTTCTTTGAGTATTCTTGGTTTTAGATTGTCTGGTCCTGATGCTTTATTTGGATTTATTTTTGATAGAAGTTTCAGTACTCCATTTTCTGTGATGATTAGATCTTCAGCAGAAGGGTATTGACCTGGCATATTACAACGAGATTTGAATTCATCTGGACTATATATTTCCTTTGAAGAGAATGCAGATTGAAACTGTTTATTCAGGATGGTTGCTTGGTCTACAGGATGGGAGTGTAGTACTCCATCACTACGTAGTTATCATGATATTAAAAACAAAAAATATGACAAACAATGAATTCCATCCAAAAGTTATACAGTGACAAGAAACATGAAACCTACACAAATTATAATCAAGGATTTTAATAATTAGATAAAACGTGATCTGTGCAAGCTTTTTAAATAGATATGTATGAAATAAGGCAGCGTATTTGAATTAAGGTTCATCATAACCAATGGACGAAAATGGCTGTAGTTACAACTCAAAAACTACTACGAGTACAGTCTAACCTGTGCAATTGGAAAAGTTTTAAGGCCTGGCATCCACTAGATATATATATAAAGATTAAATGCATTTTGTGTTTCAGAAAGATAAAATCTTGTTTGGATTTTGATGAGCATTTTTTTTTTCGTTCCTGCTGTTGGTCATGTTGGTGTAAAAATAAACAAACACCTGAATTACATTTGATACTGTCCACTCAGTTACACCCTTTAACTAACCTATTGATGTGTAGATATCTATTGTCCATGTCAATCAAGGACAATCAATACAATACAATACAGTTGTTACCTGAGAGGGAGCATCTCAAAGATTTAACACAAACTTAGTTTATTTTTAAACCTTCTTGTCTTCCATTGTTGTCTTCTGCAGGAATGGAAAAAAATGCCCAACAAAATCCAAAAAAGATTTTATCTTTTTGAAACATAAAATGCATTTAACTTTTATATATCTAGTGGATGCAAGGCCTTAAAACATTTCCAACTGCACTGGTTAGTCTGTATTCTAATCTTTAATGTTGGACAGTGGCCATTTTTGAAAATGCACATAAATCAAGATGAGCGTCGCAGTGACATGAATTTTAAAGCACTTCTGAGGAGGAATTTAAGTTAGAAATATTGTTTCAAACCGGGTTTAATCCCTCGAATTTTTTCCTCAATATGCATGATTCAATTGATTTTGCATAAAGGGTTACAGGAGCATGACTGCAGGTATAGCACTGTAGCTGCACCTTCTATTAGACTTCCTTGATTCCTAAGGCAGGCTCTAAATTGTTTTTTCCTATCAAAATAAAAGGTAAAGGGGTTGGGAGGGCTCTCAGTGATTGTTAATGTGTGCTTGTAAATTACTAAATACTAGAATGATAGTAATAAATACACATCCATTTATTCCTATTTTGAGTGCTACCGATCCAAACATGCCTTTGTAAATCAAGGGCTGCTTTGTCAGATCTGAGGTATTTTCTAGCATATATCTGTAAATTATACAGTTAGCTGTATTGCAACAATAGCGGATAAAGAAATAGCAAACAGGCTTTCAAGAGAAACAATATTGGGAATGAACCAAGCAAGAGGCAAAATTCTAATTAGATTTGTTGGTGAATAATTTGTGGCAAAAATAGCAGGCCTAGGGCTCTCACTAAGATTATTTGAAGTACAAGTGTAAGGAGTAGTACATTGTACCGGTAATATGAAAATAAAAACCTTGCAATATAAAACTTATACTATTTTTAATTTTCTCTTTTCATGTTGTTCTTTGAAATCTTCATGGTTACCATGGTTACAGTACAGTAAGTATTTATTTATTTATTTTATTAGAGAAGAATTATTCATTAAGAAATACATGGTCAATGATCATGAAATATTGAAAGTTATTTCATATTGAACAATTTGGAAGGAACTATAGGTCATCATACAACCTTCAACAATGAGCAAAACCCATACTGTGTAGTATTAAAGCTATAAAAAGCCCTGGCATGACACAATTGTGAAACAAATCAAATGAGAAAACCGATAGCCTGATTTATGCTGAATCAATAAATGAAAACAAATAAGGCAGACAGTGACCAATGACAAACACTGAGTTACAGGCTCTTGACTTTGAACAGGCATATAAAAATGTGTCTGGTTAAACATGTTTGTTAGGGTTGAACCCTCAACCAAGGAAAATTACAGAATTATAAGCTTCTAACTTGGGACAGGCAGACAGTCGGGGTTAAATGTGTCTGAGTGCTCAATTCTCCCCCTAATTCCTTATATAATTATGTAAACTTTTTTTTTAAAATACAACCGTGCCAAATTATAGACATATTTTATTGTTAATCTAATGCTATTTGTTTATGTTGTTAGATTTTTTTGCTTAACATTGAACATAGAATTGTCATTTTTCAATATAAGTCATAATTAACAATGATTAAGGGTCTACTAAGTAGGAGCTGACTAAGGAACATATTTCTACCTATTTTGACAAAGTACATACATGTATATACATTTGTATTTAACATTGTATTGTGGTTATTGTTTTTACTACATTTATCATGTATATATACAACAAAAATATTACTAACAATGTAGTCTTTATTTATTACAAAATATGATGTAATGTTTGTACAATGTTAGGATTTAAGACACTAACATGACAAAGCTTCAATTTTTTTTTGCTGATTTCCCTTTAATAGCTAGTGTTTTCCAAAATTTATAGATCTTTATATGTGAATTTTTTTTTTCTAGATTTCAATTATTAACCCAATTTTTGCATTCATCTTTTTCTGTCAAATAAATACTTACTGATAGCTATAGGGTATTGAAAAAAAAAGATCAGCTGTATAATTTCTGTGGCAAGTAAATATTTCTGGTTTGTGAAAAAAGATGTTGATATTTTTTACACATTTCAATTTGATGAATTGAATTTTCATCTAAAGAAAATATATTTCTGAGATTTTTTTTAGCTGGTATGTGATTGGATAGAACTTTGCAACAGAGCAGTAGTAAAAAAGATCCTGTACACTTATTACTTTCATATTTTACACTATAAATTCAATTGCATCATTTTTTATTTTTTCACGAAAAATGCTCGAATCTTTTGGCCTAGTAACTTTATGATTTTTTTCACTTAAAGTAAACATTTAGAAAAAAAAAATCACTTGCAAACTCTTCTTAGTGGTAACTTGTAAGATTTGACACTGAGCTTGTTTTTATATAGTGTGCACTATGCACCCTGATTATAGTACTAGTTATAGGTATATGTGTTTTGTTTTTTTCAGCATTTCTGGGGTCCTGGTAAGTAAATATTTAATGATAAACACATTTGTATTTATGATAAAACATGTATTCAACTGAATTTATTCAATAATCTATACATGTAAAAACTTAACTTTAAGATAGTTAGAAAAATACAGTTTAAAATACACAACTAGGAGAAATAGTAATGAGTCCCTATATGGATTATACATTGGTTGTATACAAATGATCTTCAACATACAATGTATATTATGTATATAGAAATTTCTTCTTCAGAATTAACTGTTTTTTACAAGAACTTTATAATGTGTGATCTCTACATGAGTTAACTGTTAAGGCTTTATATTTTCAACCAAAAGCTGAAGTTTTTGAGATTAACAAGGAATGTGAAACTGGAAGTTATGCTTTATGCTTTTTGAATGATTAAAAAAAATCATGAAAAATGAAAAGAAAAGGTTGCATGTTTAAAGAACGACTTGTTATAACTGTCTGTATATATTTGCTTTTTAAAGGGCAAAAAACATATCCCTCTTCTGCTGCATTTGAATAGAAACATTGCCTTTTCTTTAAAAATGTCTTTACTATTTACTCTTTTCATTTACAAGTATTGTAAAATGCAATTTTTTTAACTATAAGTTTTGTAATAGAGTTCATAAGAATTTCATGACAAACGTGGTGGAAGGTGAGCAACGGCGGTGTCATCAATTGTTAAATTTTCTGCTGGGGTTTTGGCCTAATAACAAAAGTTTTTTACTCAACATTTGACATTTTTTATGTTCATTTTAATAGTGAAACTAAATATATCCCATTTTTATATGACCGCAAAAAATTTTGCGGTTGTATATTGGTATCACGTTGTTGTCGTCGTCGTTGTCAGCGTCGTCGGACACATTTGGTTTCCGGACAATAACTTTAGTATATGTAAATTGAAATCTATGAAATTTAAACACAAGGTTTATAACCAAATTCAGACCTGTATCAAGCGTGAATATTGTGTCCATTTTTGCCCCAACTGTTCAAGGTTGGACCTCTGCGGTCGTATCCAGCTGCGCTCGGCGAAGCAATTTATTGTAAGATAAGATCATTTTACCATTTAGTAGTGTATTCTCTGAACAAGATAAATGTAGAACTTTTGTATTTGTCATATTTGAAAATATGATTTTATACTATAGCCTTGGACTTTATAATAAAAAAAAACATCAAACATCTATTCATTATGAATTAGAAGTCATGAGGAGTTTAATGGTGTATTAACTATCTTGTCCATTAAAATGAAATTCGATTGTTTTTATCAATATGAAAATCAAAAGTATAACTGGTGTACCAGGTATCAGTAACTTTCCAAAAGAATCACATGTACAAATGTATGTGTTTGTGTTAAATTGGTTATTTTTCTTCTGTCAATAGTTGCAAATTGGGGACTTCCTTTGGCAGCATTAGCAGACTTAAAGAAAGACCCTGAGATGATCAGTGGTAAAATGACTGCAGGTATGTAAAGCCATGTATAAAATATTCGGGTATGAAATCTATTTACTACATTTTTTATGTATTACAGAAAACTTCTAAGCTAATCTGGCTCACTTACGACATTTTAGCTTTTTCTTGCTAGGTGTTCTTACATCAAAAGTCGTTAACTTTTGAAAAAAAAATCATCTCCTCTGAAACAATTTCAACCAAACCTGGCCTGAATGATCTTTAGGGTATATGGTATTGTTTTGTGTTTTTATACGACTGCAAACAATTTTGCGGTTGTATATTGGTATCACGTCGTCAGCGTCGTCAGAAGACATTTGGTTTCCGGACAATAACTTTAGTAAATGTAAATAGAAATCTATGAAATTTAAACACAAGGTTTGTAACCACAAAAGGATAGTTGGGGATCGATTTTGAGGGTTATAGTCCTAACAGTTTAGGAATTAGGGGCCAATAAGGGGCCCAAATAAGCATTTTTCTAGTTTCCAGACAATAACTTGTGGAACGGTGTATGGATCTCTCTGAAATTATACCACAAAGGGATGGTTAGGATTGGCTTTGGGGGGTTATGGCTCAAACCGTTTAGGAATTAGGGGAAAAAACAAGGGTTTCCTGGTTAATGGACAATTAAAAAAAAGTACAATGTTATGTTTGGACTACCTTCCTTACACTGCTTTTAAATTATTTATAAAGAAATGTTGTATTGTCTTGAGGTGATAAGCTGTCAATTTATTTTTAGAAGTTACTATTTAAAAATGCTGATTAAGGAACATAAATTTTAGCCATGATTATGTATGTCATTTTCTATTTTAAGACTTTTATGATGTATTTAAATGGGTAATTATGGTTGCAAACTCCATTGGAAATTTGAATTGAGATTATGACCATATCTTGAGGGAAAGAATTTTTTTTTTTTGGAAAAAGGGGGGGGGGGGGAGGGTAAAAAATTGTGAGGGGGGGGGGACAATTTTTTTCCCATTTCAGATTTTAGAAATTAAAAAGAAAATTTTTCAAATATTTTTTTTTTGGCAAAAAAAGGGGGGGGGGGGGGGGGGGGGAACAAAATTTTTTTATTTTTTTTTGGGGGGGGGGTCAATTCGCAACAGCATAGTGTATTACACAAAAGCAAAAAAAAGGGGGGGGTAAATTTTTTTTCTTTTGGGGGGGGTGTCAATTGGCAACAGCAAAGTGTATTGCACAAAAGCAAAAAATTGAAGATAAATTCAAATCATATAACCAATTCTAAGTTCTTTGACTACAGTTATTCTGTGTCAGAAACCTATAATGTGTCAAATATTTAATTACAATCCAAATTCAGACCTGTATCAAGCGCGAATATTGTGTCCATTTTTGCCCCAACTGTTCAGGGTTGGACCTCTGCGGTCGTATCCAGCTGCGCTCGGTGAAGCAATTTATTATCAATGATTTGTCACAACTATTTAACTTATGTCAATGACAATAGAGATATTTGATTTGGTGTAAAACTTTGAAAATTTTGGGTCCAGCCAACCAACTAAAATAGCTGCCATGGCTACTTTCCATTTCTAAAAAATATTATCAGATGGCTCATTGGAGTTCTTGCCCTTTTATGAGAATTTTTTTTACTACTTTTAGCATGTTTGTCTATTATATTGAAAACTATGATAGATAGACAGAAACTATAAACAGCAAAAATGATAAGCAATACAGATCTACAAAAATACCAATATAACTGAAACCATTAACTGATTCCTTATAAGAGTTATTGCCCTGAAGTGACAACTTTTGACCAATTTAAGCACTTTGGCATATCATCTTAAAAATTAAATCGAAAGTCAAGATACTTAGCAATAAAAGATCTACCAAATGTTCAATTTGGTCCTTATACAAGCAATTGCTCAGAAAAGACAATTTTTTACCAATTTTAGCATTTTCCTTTGAGCTTTAAATCTACAATAGATAGATAGAACCCCATATTGTAAAATGATCAGCAATACAAGACTTACTCAAATACCAATATGACTGAAACCATCAAATGACTACTTTTAGAAATTTTTATTGTAATTAGTGTTTTGTGTCTTAACTTGAAAGTAATTATAGAAAGGCAGACAATGTAAACAGCAAAAATGAACATCCAGGCAAGATATACAAATTAGTCACATAAACAAACTATTCACCTCTGAAACTACTGCACAAATCGATTGCCAAGAGACACTAATGATCCTTAATTTGTGTATATTTTACTTGGTAATTATATTTCGATTATATATCTACCAATATGGCCAGGAGGGTTTTGTAGAGTTTGTAGATATTTTTTTTATTCTCGAATTTCACTGAAATATCAATATAACAATCATATAAGAATCAAACATTCTTTTCTTGCTGTGTTCCAAGAATTTCCATTTTTAAAAGGATTAACCTTCAAAGCCTTAACTATGGAAAGCCAAAGATACCATCTTTGCTAGCCAAGAGTTACGATCCAGTCCCCTCCTGTCCACCCTTGGTCGATAAAGATAGAATTTCGGATCTACGATAAAATGATTTCAAATGGTCGCAGTTGTAACTGGCTGCATTCAATCAAAAAGAGCCTTTACGATGGTCACATGTAAATGTAGAAAATGTAAATAAACAATTGTCACGTGCAGATTGTGCAATAAATCTTTACTCCCATAACATAGGACGATATTTAGTGACAATCTTAAAGTTCTTAATCAACTAATTGAAGTTTCTGGGTATGTTTCTCGCGCAAATGTTGGAATGTCAATGTTTATTTTCGGTTCCTTGCTACATGAAATTTGTAAACACTGGACACAACCGTTTTTACACCTCCCTACTGAAGAGTGTTCAAGTGCTACCATTGATCAAGAATGAAGTAGTCTGAATGGGCATGACTTTTGTCTACTGGTAGATGGCACAGCATTGTAATCACAAATGTTGGCTTAATCTGCAAAGGGTGGAGAGGATGGGACTGGATCGTAACCCTTGGCTAGCGAAGATGGTATCTTTGGCTTTCCATAGTTAAGGCTTTGAAGGTTAATCCTTTTAAAAATGGAAAATTCTTGGAACACAGGATCGTAACCCTTGGCTAGGGAAGATGAAAGATTACATAAAAGCTGTAAACCAAAATGTACCTGAATAGAGAAGCCAGATGGTCATTAAGTCATCATTGCAGAACCCTTGATTCTTTAAAAACGAAAATAACTTTAAATTATGCTGAATTATTTTTTTCTACAGTTTCATATGGGATTTTTTTCTTAAAATGTATACAAAATTTTGTATGAAACTATCCCACATTTTAATAAAGTTAAGTGAAAACTTTTACTCAGTTGTTTGGTAATAAAGTTCCAACCTGTTATAACCAATGTTATAATCATGGAAGTTCTATGACTTTCATATTGTAATGACCACACTCATTAATAATTTTAACTTTGTTAAACGATCCAAAGCTCTTTTTTTAGAGAGAGGCATGTATCTCCCATCATATATACTTGTCATAGGACAAGGATTTTTACAAAACAGAAGAATTGAGATTCTTCTCATGCCATGTCTACTTTAATGATTGAGGACAAATGTTTAGTCTTTGATATGAGCTAAAAATATAAATATCCTGCATTTCTACAGTCTATGCTAGTGTCACAGAACTCAAATAATTGGATCAAAGATTAACTATAGGTATGTTTGGAGATTTTTAGAGTATACGTGATGATTATAATACTTATGTATATTATTTTGCAGCACTTGCAATTTATTCATCATTATTCATGAGATTTGCTATCAGAGTACAGCCTCGTAACATGTTACTGTTTGCCTGTCATGTAACCAACTTTTCTGCTCAAATGATACAAGGTGGAAGAGTTATCCATTATCAGTAAGTCAATGTGTGCATTTATATTAAGGTATTCTGGTGTTTATCTGGGTATTTTAGGAAAAAGGACACTTAGAGACACCATGGAAGTAATATTTAAAAGGAATAACAACGACTAATTAGCATGTATTAACAGCCTGCAGAGCTCTGTACTAAAGTCATATGATTTTATCCAATTATAGTCTCAGCGGCAAGACCCCTTTGGTTACTATCTGTGATACCGCGGTTGTTAAATGGCATCTGGAATTTCTTATCAGTCACATGATTTTATCGAGTCCGGTAATTATAAAGCACCTGTGTGAAATCCGAGGTTTATTAATAAGAAGGTGGCGCTGTATCATATAAAACCTCTACCTTCAGAAAGAAGTCGTATGATGTAAAAAAAATGAAAAATGGACGAGAATTGTTCAACCTACAACAGTTTAGCATGGAAAATTGTATTTAATTTAGCATATTTTTGCTTTTTACCGTTTGTTTTAAACTGTTCTAAAAGTATTTTCCGGTTAAAAGCGGATCCCGAGTAAAACAGTTAAATACCGATGAATCGATCAGGTTTCACATGATGTTTAACAAAATAATGTAGACAAATCTAGACATAGATTTTTTTACTGTTGAAATGTGCAAAGTTTATCGAGAAGTATTCTAAATTTATGTATATGTCATAAATGTCATTGATTACATTATGGAAACTGGACAGCTAAAATATATATTTTTTTAAGAAGTGTTTATTGTGGAATACTTGTATTAATATAACAAGCTACAGCAAAAATTAAAACAAACCGACAAAATGAGCTTGACGCTATCTGTCTTACGGCAAATTCATTTTTACACGAATTAGTTTATGTTTCAAGAACTATAAATTAAAGGATAGAACCGTTTAGAATTGTGAATATTTTAATTGACTAATACACGAAAGACTTAGATTATTCGTATTTAATAAAAGTGGGTCCAAACGTATTTTTTGTACAATCATCTTCTTAACTTATGGAAATGGCTTTTTAACTGTCTGTAAATATTAAAATTGAAAATGACCCAGTCTTGTTCTCCAATTTCATATGTGATAGCTGTCGGTACTATTAAGATCGAACTAACCAGAAATAGGAAAATTGGACTAAAATAAAAATTGAACGAATGACTTTATTTGGCAGCGTACATCAACGGAATGTAACGAATGGACTATTCTGGTTACTTCGCACCTATATACGACAAAAACTTGTCTGTTCGTAGTTTTCCGTGAACACGAAAATGACCGAAAAGTGTCAGTGATTTGATCGATCACATGCAGAGAATCAACTTCCATGCCAGATATTAAACCAATTAACGAGTTATCGAAAGATAGGCTTTGACGCAGATGAAACCTTTGAAGTGACGACGTTGTTATTCCTTTTAAATATTACTTCCATGGAGACACTTAGAGGTTTCATATAATTTCCATTGGTGTGCCCATCCTATTAGGAATAATGAAAGTTACAGATATGTGTGTAAAAATATTTGTTACTGTCATAAAAGATTTTTCCTACTGTCTATTTCTCAACTTGGATAGCATCACTTATCCTGTATCAGGGGTCTGCTGGGCTTTGCCAATGTCGCCAATTTTCTCCCCTGCGACAAAAGTCATAGTATGTGACGATGATGATGATGATGGATGGCTGCTTAACATCCAGCGGCAAATAGATATGCATATTCAGGACTAGAACTTGTTAATGTAATATGAATATTAACCCTGCTTTGTACTAGACCAACACGCTAAGCTGAATTTTTAATGTGCTAGTTCACAAGGTTACAGTCCGCAGGAAGACTCATCACCATACCCGGACACATTGTTCTGACTCTGAGCTGACCAGTCTTTGCTCTTCCCCTTAATGCTGCTTGCTTAGCGGAGAAGCAGCAAATACCAATTTTAAAGTCTTTAAATTGTATTATCAATGGTTTGACCCAGCCGTGGTTTTGAACACACGACCTCCCCTACTTGAGGCGAACACGCTACCATGAGACCACCGAGGTGGTCCTCAGTATGTGAAACAGGGATTATTATCCTGCTGTGGCATTGTAAACTACTTGTATAAAGCTTTATATTTCAGAAGGTAAAAGACCTGGATGCTTCATACCTTGTATGCAGATACATTATGTTAGGAAGTTTCCGTCTGTCATATGTCCATTTTCCATGACCTCATTTTCATGGTTCAGCGACTGCTTGAAAAAAAAATTGTAGTTTTTTTGTCATGTGAATTTCTAACTTATGGGTTCCTTACAAAGTCTACATGTCCCCCAGACAAGGTTCACCTGACCTAGCCCTTATTTCATGGATCAGTGATCAAGGTTAAAGTTATGTGATTAGGTCCATTTCTCAGATACTATAAGCAATAAGTCAACTATATGTGGTGTATGGAATGATTGTAAGGGGTACATGTCAGTCTGGCAGGATTCATATGTCCTTGACCTTATTTTCATGGTTCATTGGTGAATGTTAAGTTTTTATGGTTTTGCCTGTTTATCAGATACTTTTAGTAATAAATAGATCAAGTATATTTGGTGTATGGAATGATTGTAAGGTGTACATGTCTGTCTGGCATGGTTCATCTGACCTTGATTTTCATGGATCATTTATAATGTTAAGTGTATGTGATACTTGTAGTTAAACCTTCATAGTTTATTAGAGACTTTCAACATAAATTGGATCACAAATAAATCAGGTGAGACATTTCAGCGTGTGCACTCTTGACCATAAACATCATAATTTTCTTCTTGTAGTAAATTTTAGTCTCGCAAAAAAAATCATTATGCAACAGGAAAGCACTATATATGTATCTTCAGGAATTCATTTTCATAAAAACATTTTTAATATGCTTCAGTTATTTTACACCAGTATCAGAGAGGAAAAAACATCATATTGAAGTTGTAGAAGAGGAAATTCATCACCATCCTGAGAGATACCCAGAAATTCATCCAATACCATTAGATCACCTAACACCCAGTCAGGCTGAAAAAGAAGTGCAGGAATTTGACAAGAAATATTCTCTTCCTAAAGAACCAGAGCCACATATAAAGCCTACATTATAAAGCTTTTGACAAAAGTTTATAAATTTTAACGAATTTGTCTGATTGTTTTAAGGCTGATTTTTAAATAAAGGCATTCCCTCTAAATACGCAGATCAATAAGTTTGAAGGTTATTGTACGGTTTTAATGAAAAAAGTGTGAAAGTTCAAACAGAATTTTTAATTACTATGTATAATATGATATAATGGTTGAAGATGTTACACTAGTTTTTGTGGTTAAAATATAGGACTTTCATGAAACTCACTTCCGAAAGCCTGAATCAGATTTTAATATAACAATGGTGGAATAATTTTTTTTTTTCTTCTTGGGAAGTCTACTGGTATAAATACTGGTTTAGTGCAGTGATTAGCAATGGTGAAAAGTAAATAGAAAATAATGTGTTTCTTTAATTTGTAAACGTTTCCCGCTTTATAATTGACTTTGATTACACATAATTACAAATATGTAGGAAGGCAAAGCACCATTAACAATGATTAATCATTTCTATATTAATATAAACCAAATATTATCTTTAAATTAACAGGGATTAAAAAAAACCTAATTGTTGAATCTTCTTTAAGCTGTATTGCAGTATAATAACCTGCTTCAAATTTTAATTTAAGAATAAATTAAATGATTCTGGAAAGGAGTTTCTGGAAAGGGCTATATAAGAGTGAAATATAAAATATCTATGCTGACAGAATTTTTAAAATCGTACAGCAATGTGCTCCATGACTGAAATTATTCAAAAACATTGTATTATATTCCAAAACTTATGGTACCAAAAATATTTAAAATCTTTTACTTGCCATGAACACATTAGATGAGAGAGTTGCCATCATATTCAGTGTTCTTCTCTGTATTTTCATATAGCACCGTAGGTTTGAAATATAAACTGTGTTTCCAAATTGGCCAAAGTTTTAGCACAAAATTAATCAATAGCTATTTCATAGTGCCATAAGGCTCTGGTAGGAACACCCACATGTTTAATTGCATATTGCCTCTTAGGGCTCTTCCTGATATAAATATATGAGAGTAGGCACTTTTTAAACCTTTATCAGGAATAAATATTGTATTTGACCTGTCATATTAATATTTGTCCTACTCTTTATGACACTGGGTGTAGATTTTGTATAAAATTTGTTTTTGCTGACTTAACTTTTTGGTTCATCTATACCAACAACATCCATGGAAAATTCCTAATTCACAGACTAGAATTAATCCATGGTATACATGGTATTTTCTGCATTGAATTATTATGTACATGAAAATGAATATATATTAATCTTGATCGGCAATTTGTACATTTTCCCTTTGATCTTACTGCCTAATATTTTTAAGATCATGGACAGGACTTGATACTAAAAAAATATTAGGCAATGACGTCATGTATCAGTGCAGCAACATCACATGCTTAAGTCCATCCGTGTCAAAATATCAATGAAATTCATGCGACTCCATTCATGCAACCCAACAACTATCCCAACGTTTCGTATGGGTAAAAGTAGTTTTTCTCACTATTTCATTTTACTTCATATTCTCAACCAAAAAAAACATAAAGTTAAGACAAATTGCTGATAAAAAGAATAAGCTGGTTCGCTTGATATTCTTACTGATAAAGTCAGTATCAAAAACAAAATTGCCATTATTCTATGTATATTAGCCAGAGAGATTGCTGTGGCAACAATCAGTCTGTTTTAGGGCTGTTGGACGTCTAATATAAAAGTCTATATATAATCCATACAGAGTCCTCGAAAAGTGGTGGTCCGAAGATTTTGACCACCAAAACATCGGACCACCAAAATTTTGCAAAGGACCGACACAATTTTGGTATTTTACAATAAAAATGATAGTGATGACCAGCCGATTGTCTTCACGGACCACCAGGGAATTTTTTTTTTTTTTTCGAGAACTCTAATCCATATAACAGACCCAGACTTGGAGATGCAAGTTTCTGTCTTGAAATTGTAAAAGATCTATTGTTAGTCAGATCAATGATACATCATTCCTTTCCTTACTAATTTCTCCTTGACATATTTACATTTTATTTACTGACTACCCCATGTAGTACAAACAAAAGCTTATTACTCTCAACCTTCCATTTTTGCCAACATCAGAGCAATCTCAGACTACATCTCTATATGATAATAACTTAGCACATAGTAAAGATGTATATAGAAGTAGACATGTAAGCTTCTGAAAACAGAAATTAAAAAAACAATAGTATGATAAATTTTGTCCTCCACCATGATGAAAAAATAAATTGTGTTGGATACATACAAAAGATGTAAAGGTACTCCAACAGTTTTAGACTATGTGAACTACAATCTGTACTATCATTGGTGTTGCACTTGCAAAAAAATAGTGGTACTATCTAAAATGTACGTAACTAAACACCCATATATTTAATACTAAGTATTGGTATAGTTTTCCTGATTGGAATCACTGCAACTTTTCAAGCTGCTACTCTGTGAACCTTGTATGAATGTGAAAATATTTACCCTTGAAAGTAGGTCACAGAGGCCTAGTTATTTCACTCCTTATTACCTTGTTTGGGTTCATATATGTGTCCTGTAGTCATGTGTCCTAGTATAACCAACAATGTAGATTCAGGCAGGGCTATTATTTTTCCAAAAAATAGGACCCGGGTATTTGAAATACCTGTAACTTTTTTTTATTAGTCCCCTTCCGACGAAGTCGAAGGGGACTTTAGGTTTGCACCCTGTCCATCTGTCCATCCGTCAGTCCGGCAAATCAGTTTTCCACACTTTTTTTCTTCGTGCTTGAAGATATTAATTTGATATTTTGTGTATTGTTTTATCATGACTAGTTACAGATTAAGTTCGAATTTTGTTCCGGTCTGATGATTTTGTGCAGAGTTATGGTCCTTGAACTTAGAAAATTCCCTCAAATAATCAGTTTTCCGCACTTTTTTTGGTCATGCATGAAGATATTGATGTGATGATTGGTATATAGTTTTATTTATTTAGGTTTTTAAAAGACAAATTAAAGCAGCTTTAGCTTAGCTATTAGGTGACGACAAGTTTGACTTTGTTTATTAAGGGGATATAATCAATTCAAAAGACTACACATAGGTGATGAACAATCAAGACTCTGTTGTTATAGCTTTTCTTTTGTTTTGTTGTGTATTTTGTGCCATATGTGTTAGGATTTGTATTTTTTATTTACTACAGATGTTGATACAGACAAAATACACTTTAAATTTTTTGTTTTAAGGTATAAAATGTCATGACAATATATTAAATTATTAATATTATACTCGTTGTTTTGATAAACTCCAAAAGATGCTATCAGAAGTTTGTTTTTTTACACTTAATTGATTGGTTTAGTGCAATTTACCCAATTCTTTATATTGTAAGGGTATATATCAAGAAAAATTTCTGTAGGCCTAATTTTTATTCACAAAACATTTCCAAGATTTTGTGACACTTAGCATACTGTCATTCATATACCCTCAATACAGTACATAATATTTTCCCTTATGTTAACAAAATTTCTATTGGAACATTCGTTTTCTTGAATGTTGTTTAAATAGGAACATCAATTTAAAAAAATGTAATTATCATAACATATTATATATGAATAGCTGATTGTTCTCTTTTTTAAACTAGAAAGTTGATTCCTCTCAAAAAATAAAAGTAGATATATTTGTATCGTATCAATATGTTATTTGTCTGAATATACATGTTAAAAGGTTTTATTTATTATTGAAAGGTAAAATTAATTCTTAAAAAAGAAAATCAAAGGTCATACTACTGTGTATAGTGTATGACAGATGATCAGGGTGAATCTTTTGTTACTTTGTTGACTTTTTAGCTCACCTGGCCCAAAGGGCCAAGTGAGCTTTTCTCATCACTTGGCGTCTGTTGTTGGCGTCCGTCGTCGTTAACTTTTACAAAAATCTTCTCCTCTGAAACTACTTGGCCAAATTAAACCAAACTTGGCCACAATCATCATTGGGGTATCTAGTTAAAAAAATGTGTCTGGTGACCCTGCCAACCAACCAAGATGGTTAAAAATAGAACATAGGGGTAAAATGTAGATTTTGGCTTATATCTCTGAAACCAAAGCATTTAGAGCAAATCTGACATGGGGGTAAAATTGTTTATCAGGTCAAGATCTATCTGCCCTGAAATTTTCGGATGAATCGGACAACCCGTTATTGGGTTGCTGCCCCTGAATTGGTAATTTTAAGGAAATTTTGCCGTTTTTGGTTATTATCTTGAATATTTTTATAGATAGAGATAAACTGTAAACAGCAATAATGTTCAGCAAAGTAAGATCTACAAATAAGTCAACTTGACCAAAATGGTGAGTTGACCCCTTGAGGAGTTATTGCCCTTTATAGTCAATTTTTAACCATTTTTCGTAAATTTTTGTAATCTTTTACAAAAATCTTCTCTGAAATTACTCAGACAAATTTAACCAAACTTGTCCACAATCATCATTAGCGTATTAAGTTTAAAAAATGTGTCCGATGACCCCGCCCGCGAACCAAGATGGCCGACATGGCTAAAAAATAGTACATAGGGTAAAATGCAGTTTTTGGCTCATATCTCTGAAACCAAAGCATTTAGAGCAAATCTGACAGGATAAAATTGTTCATTAGGTCAAGATCTATCTGCCCTGAAATTTTCAGACCAATCAGGCAACACGTTGTTGGGTTGCTGCCCCTGAATTGGTAATTTTAAGAAAATTTTGCAGCTTTTGGTTATTTTCTTGAATATTATTATAGATAGAGATAAACTGTAAACAGCAATAATGTACAGCAAAGTAATTTCTGCAAATAAGTCAACATGACCAAAATTGTCAATTGACCTCTTAAGGAGTTATTGCCCTTTATAGTCAATTTTTTACAATTTTTTACAATTTTTACAAAATATTTTCCACTGTAACTACTGGGCCAAGTTCATTATAGATAGAGATAATTGTAAGCAGCAAGAATGTTCAGTAAAGTAAGATCTACAAACACATCACCATCACCAAAACACAATTTTGTCATGAATCCATCTGTGTCCTTTGTTTAATATGCACATAGACCAAGGTGAGCGACACAGGCTCTTTAGAGCCTCTAGTTTTTATGCCCCCGCCGTAGCGGTGGGGGCATTAAGTTTTACCCTTGTCCGTCTGTACGTCCCAAAATTGGTTTCCGTTCTCTAACTTGAGTTTGCTTCAACCAAATATTATGAAACTTATACACAATGCTTGTTACCACAAAACACAGATCAAGTTTCAATTTTGGAGGCGTCACTTTAACCGTTCTAGAGTTATGCCCCTTTATAAATGGAAAAATTGCAAATTTTTTAGTTTCCGTTCTCTAACTTAAGTTTGCCTCAACCAAATGTTATGAAACTTATACACAAGGCTTATTACCACAAAACACAGATAAAGTTTGAATTTTGGTGGCGTCACTTTAACCGTTCTAAAGTTATGCCCCTTTATAAATGGAAAAATTGCAAAAGTTTTAGTTTCCGTTCTCTAACTTAAGTTTGCCTCAACCAAATGTTATGAAACTTATACACAATGCTTATTACCACAAAACACAGATCAAGTTTGAATTTTGGTGGCGTCACTTTAATGGTTCTAGAGTTATGCCCCTTTATAAATGGAAAAAATTGCAAAATTTTTATTTTCTTCTAAATATCAAGTTATTTTTAAAATTGGAGTTATCTTCCTTTGTCCATGATTATAGTTGAATCAACTACAATCAATGCTATATACAATGCAATGTTTAATTTTGACTTCCACTGATAAAACACAGATCAAGTTGAATTTGGGTAGTGTCACTTCAACCATTATTGAGTTATGCCCCTTTATAGATAGAAAAATTGCTGAATTTTTAGTTTCTGTTCTCTACTTAAGTTAGCCTCAACCAAATGTTATGAGACTTGCACACAAAACTCAGATCAAGTTCAAATTTGGGTAGTGTCACTTTTACTGTTCTTCAGTTATGTCCCTTTATAACTATATGATATGCAAGCGGGGGCATCATCTGTGTCCACATGTGGACACTATCCACATTTATTTATTTATTACTTCACCAATATTGAGTGCTCAAATCTGATGTTATAGCGTAGTGATTATTTTATATTTAGAAAACATTTTTTCTGTTTTATATGCAGACTGCATTATGTGATGGCATGAACAAAGACTATGTTTCATTATAATGGTTTGTGTTGTTGTCAAGTTATTTTGACAAAATTAAAGACCATTGACTTAAGTTGATTTATTTTCTTCTTTTCCAATACACAGCTGTTTGTAAGATCATCTGATCCAAAGGGCCATGTGAGTTTTGGCCATCACTTATTGTCCGTCGTCTGTAAACTTTTCTTTAAAAAAAATTCTCCTCTGAAACTGCTCAATGGATTGTCTGATTCGTTTCTAGGAAGTTAACTATAAAGTTTGTGATTTTTGTCCATGTTGATGAATCAACATGGCTACCATGTTTAAAAATAGCACAGGGGTCAAACAACAACTTTGGATAATATCTCTAAATATGTAGCAATTATAGAAAAACTGACATGGTGAAAATGATCAGAAAAACACGTTCTATTTACTCTGAAATTTAAAAAAAATTTGTTTACCAGTTTTGGATTTATTGCCCCTGATATGTTGATTTCAAGTGTTTTAAGGCATTTCCTTGTCATTGTTTCAAAAACTATAGGAACTAGGTTATAAAAGTATAAACTGCAAAAATGATCAGCATAACAAGATCTATTAACCTGGAAAATTTGTTGACCCTTTCCAATTTTATCCTTTTTGGGCTGTTATTTTGAAAACTATAGGAGCTAGGTTAAAGTATAAACTGCAAAAATGATCAGTATGACAAGATCTGTCTACAAGTGAAAAATTGACAACCTGTTTTTGAGTTATTGCCCCTGAAATGTCGAGTCTTATTGTTTTATTGCAGTTCTGGTTGTTATCTTAAAAAAATAGTAAGGATAAACTTGTAAATTGCCAAAATTTTCAGCAACACAAAAGTTGTATATAAAGTGCATGTAGAAGTCTTAATTAGCAAACAGGGGAAATTTTCAACAGGTGTGCCTCTTGTTAATTTAAGGGTAAATATATTCAGGTTTAAGAGTTACTTATTTCCTGTTTATTGGCTCACCTGGACCAAACTGCAATGTCATGTGAGCTTTATGTCTAATTTTCCTTTGTCTGTCTATTGCCTGTAAACTTTTCTTTAAAAACCTTCTCCTTTTAAACACTCAATGGATTGAATCCAAAATTTGTCTCCTTCATCTATATGATGGTTTTTATGAAGTTTATGATTTTCTTTCAAGTTGATAAACCATACTGGTCACATCTGACAGCTAAATATAGAACAAAGTGGGTTAATATCTCGAAAACTAAAGCACTTGAAAATGGCTGTCGCGGTTCGTTGACAGCCAAACAATGATTAATACTGTGTCTTTAGTGTTATCATTTGATAGATGAATGTATTTGCAAAATAAAAATCATGAAAAACTTTCACTACTACTTTGTTTAAAAAAAAATTGTCACGCCAAGTCTTCGTAATATCACGTATCTCGAATGTCGCTTTTACGGGAACATGCCGTTGATCGTTTGAATAATAATGCTATGTCGTGAAAATATAATGAAAAAGTCTATTTGTGTGAGGTATAATACTGAAAAAATATGTTTGCAAAATCCTAAGTGTGTCGCTTCAAGAATTTTTTTATTTTTTTCAATTTATAATATGTCGCATGAATAGTGGTAATCTACGTTATTGTTACCTTATGATAACGAAAAACCGGTTGGGAATATACATTAGGACAAAGTGCAGATTCTTAAAATGTAGTTTCAATGGTTGTCCTCATTGTACGTATCTTTTTTTGGAAGTTTTCTCAACTCATTTGATGTTTGATGGGTTAATTCCAGTTGATGTAAATGCGTCGTTTTAAGATGGTAAGCTACGAGATCGTAATTGCAACAGTATCTTACTGTTTAGATTTGAAAGATTAACTTTGAGATATTAGTGCTGATGTATCATTTTAGTTAAAAGCTATTGCAACCCGAACAAGTATCGGAGATTTTTTTTTAACTTGATATCCTGTATTATGTAGTCTACGTTGCGAAAGCTACGTTATGGCATTTTTTTACACGGTGCCTTTCAGAACTCCTCGTATAATAATTCCGGTTTCTGTAAATGTTCGGACACGGACTGGATATTAATAACTATGTTTTACTTCCTCTGACACATGACATTAAAGTTTCTTGGCAGGAAAATTCAAAGTCAAACCATCAGATTGATTACACCATCCTATTAGATCCATTTTATCATAACAATGCCATCATTTTGGTAAGTAACACTATTTGTTTTACATAGATATAGCATAATTTGTTTAAAAATCAATAACTATGAATATTTAGCTCAAGTGTAAACGTCATTCAACATTCTTATTTTCCTGTGACTGACTTGCAATAGCTGTTATCCTGGTTAGCAGTCTGTTTTCTCATCTCGGCCGACAATGAGCAGTCAATATGTTGCTTGCATTCGTCGTCGTCCGTCGTCTGTAAACTTTTTTTTTTTTTTTTATTTCTGTAATTATTTTACATATATAGTTTAAAATGTGTATGAATAGTCAGGTTTTGATATCTTTGTCTTTTATATTTCAGATATATTTCCTGAAATGGCCAAAACAAAAGCAGAAATCCAAAGAGCTTATAGAGAGAGGAAAAAACTGCGTGAAGGGGAGAATTACCTAGCAAAGGAAAGGGCAAGAGTGAAAGGATATCACGTGTCAATTGAAACCCAAACAAAGAAAAAAGCAGACGAAAGACGGAAAAAAGTAAGAAAATGGGTTAAAAAACACAGAACACTGAAAAAAGTACAAAAGTCACTGGAAAATGATAGAAATTTACATTCGGAAAACGATAGACAACAACAAGATATGGAAGCAACTTCCTCAACAGATGTTACAGGCTATTCAACACAAGATATGGAAGTATCTTCATCTTCAGACGTTCAACGATCATCAGTAACACCAACCTTTATTGTAAAATTGCCTAATATAGATTTAAAAAAGCGTACTAGAACGAGAGTAAGTCGTGCCACAGCTAAACTGAGACGGGAGGTCAAAACTTTGACAACAGAAAAGGAAAACGCTAACCGTAGATTTCAGAAAATATCTAAGAGATATGAACGTCTGGTAAAGAAAACGGAGACTATTCAAAATATAACAGCAAAGAGATGTCAGATGGTTAATAGTCCTAGTACTTCAAACAATACTTGCTTAACACCAAGAAAAAGAACTATGGGCGAATTGAGAGAAAAAGGGTTGACACCAAGTAAAATTCCCAAACCTTTTCAAGACAAACTACTACTTGCCAATGTATTTACAGAAGAAATTGGAAATGCATGGAATTCTAGCGGATTAAAGGGAAAGATTTTAGTAGCGCAAATAGTATCTGGTACAGGGATTAAGATGTACAAAATGAAGAAAGTATTGGGCATAAAGACAGGAATCAGAAGACAGAACTTCAGAGGATCTTCTCAACAAATTAACAAGTTTCCTGAGATAAGAAAAAATGTGGTCTGAAGAGAGTCACTTCGTATATCTGTTGTGAATTTTTTAGAAAGAGATGATAATAGTCGTGTTATGCCTGGCAAAAATGACAAGAAGAAGACGAAACTCGGACACATTCAAAAACGGGTCCTTAATGATAACTTGATGTTCCTTCACTTGAAGTTTAAAGCAGAAACATCCCGGAAAATTTCTTTTGCAACGTTCTGTTGTTTACGACCAGTACACATAAGTTTGACGAAGTATATATCCAGAAACAAATGTCTTTGTCAAAAACATCAAAATATGGCCCTCGCACTAAAGAATATGAAAACAGCTGGCGCTAACATTACACTGAACCCTGACGAGTTTATACGGAAATTAAATGATATAAATCCCCAGGACATAATTTCGGAAATTAAAGATGACAAAATTATGTATGAGCAATGGAAAAAAGTCGACATGGCTGATGGAAAGAAGAGAACAAAGATAGTACAAATTGAACTTTCTAATGCGGAATTTGTATCAGCTGTTCTGGTTCAAGTCTGCGAGTTTCAGCAGCATGTATCCAGAGTACGTATTCAATATAAAGCTCTTACCAACCTTAAAGAAAATCTACCTGCTGGAAACGCAATAGTACAGATGGACTTTGCAGAAAATTTTTCAAGCTGTTCAGCAGATGAGGTACAAAGCGCATACTGGAATTCCAGCTCGGTTACATTACACCCAGTGGTTGTGTATTACAAAGATGGCGACGACAAGATGGCACACACTAATTATGTTTTTGTATCTGATGACCTTGGTCAAAATATAGGAACTGTATACACAATCTTACAAAAGTTAATTCCTAAGATAAAACAAAATATCAATGATCTCAAGAAAATACATTATTGGACTGACAGTCCTAGCTCACAGTATCGCAACAAAACCGCATTTTACTTAGTGTCTGACCATCAGAACTTATTCGGCGTGGATGCAACCTGGAACTACTTTGAAACAGGCCACGGTAAGGGTCCATGTGACAGAATAGGAGGGACGTCCAAGCGTATAGCAGACCAGGCTATAAAACAGGGTAAAATAGTTGTCCAGGACGCCCGCGAGTACTATGAGCATGTACAGGTCCATCACACAAGTGCAACTTATGTTTTTGTAGAATCAACAGACTGTGTAAAATCAAGACTGGAACTTACCGAGATAAATAAGACTTTGAAACCAGTGCAAGGAACAATGCAAATCCACAGTGTTGTTGGTGTTGCCACGGGTGAGATAAAGACTTGTATCACATCCTGCTATTGTAACGATTGCCTTCAAGGTAACTTTCATGACATGACTGTTGCGAACGTTATGAAATCCCAGATTAGAAATGTTCCTGTTGACATACCGGTTGATGAGCAGATTGAACATGAGAATGAAACTGTTGGAGTGGTTGAATATGTTGATGAGTCGGAGCGAGTAGGTGAGATAAATGAGACGGAGAATGACGAGGAGGAACGCAATAATGAAGAAAATAGAAGACTGAATGTCAAATCTGGTCAGTATGCGGCAGTTCAGTATGAAAAGAAATGGCATGTCGGCAAGGTAATTGAGGTAGATGAAAATGACAATGAATATTTAGTAACATTTATGCGTCCAAGCCAAGGAAAGAACACAGGTCATTCTCTTTATGTATGGCCGAGTAATGAAGATGAACTATGGGTAAAACGTGATGACATTTTGTGCGAAATACACGAACCAGTAAAAGTAGGTAGAAGTGGAAGAAGTTATGCCATTTGTCAGGAAGATATTGAACTAGCTTCGCGATTGGTGAAAGCTACGTTACCGAACAGTTAGAACAGGCAAAACATATATATATATGTCATAATCATACGTAATAATACATGTATATAAGTTATATCTGACGTTTGTTGTTTATTTTTGTGTTCAAACAAAAACAGATTATGGTGTATGGACAAGAAATAAGTGGATTCCTCATTGTCATTAATCTGTAATTTACGTTACAAGATTAAAAACGATTATATCCAGTATATTATTCATTTAATCATAGTTGCACTTACAAATTTTGTCGATATGATTCACTTTGCTTTAACTATTTTAGGTGAACAGACATTTTTCAACTTTTCCTATTATTGAAATCTACGTTATTCAAAAGTGTAATTTACGTTATTCAATAAAAATATACTGTTACAATTATATTATTTAGTTTGTTCAAGAATCGTTAATTTTGGCAATATTAGAATGAATTTGACGTTAAAAAAAAATGAAAACATTCAGTGTAAGAAAGAAACTCTCGTTTTGACAGAAAAAGAAATGTTTAAATTAAATAAGTCCTTGTTGTGGGGGCATTTACCACATTACTTGATTATTACTATTGGATGTTTTATCAAATAAACCCAGCATACGATGTATTTTTGTTCAATAACAAATACAGATCTACCGAAAAAAGGCTAAAGTTGCCGTTAAAAGACAAAACAAACAAAAGTTTTTTTATACTCTTATTGTAATGTCATAGCAACGTAGATTACTTTTAGAAAATTTAGTACAGTTGATTATTAAATTGAAAATTTTTTCTCGTTGGACTTTGAGTTCTGATATTTTGCAATTTTGTGTTACAAATGTTCATCTTCAAAACAAAAGGTTTTTTTTGACAATATATGAGATAATTTTATTTTTCAAAGCGTGTGGTGTCTTGTTCGTTTATTCTGAGAATAGGTGTACAGATGAGATATCTCTGTGTAATCAGCAATTACCAATTTTCTCAAGAAATGAAATGAAATCAAACCAAATTATATTATTGATGTAAATTTCAATCAATGTTCGTACCATACATATAGTTTATTTATGAGCTACACACACTGTACAAATATCTGAATCATTAATTTCAAAATAAAACAACATTTTTTTTGTTCAGACATAATAATAAAAGAAACATCTATATCACCAATAATAACAAAAGAGAATATTTTTTTAGTCTATCCTGTACTATGTAAAAGTGACAATTATAAATATGGTGTTAATTATCTCTCTTTTTCCATCAAGCAAGGAGACCTCTCTTTCACACCTATGGTGTTATGATGACTTTTATGCAGGATTTATTTTGCTGAACCGATTAAACACAATTGGAGAGAGCTGAGTGAAAAAGGCACGAATGAATGTGTCAAAATTAGAAATGCCCAAAAAAACCCTGTGGTTAGAATTTTAAATTGTATTCATAATTAAAGCTTTATTTTTAGGGTAGATGGGGTCTAAATTAAAATCCATAGAATTTTTTAATAATTTGTCAAAATGTAGTTTATTTCATGCTTTTTTCAAAAATATAATAAAAAGTATAGGTTACATAATAGAATAGGTAAATTCACAACACATTCTATTATAAAAATTACTTTATCTGAGTTATCTCCCCTTATGTGGCAAAGTTGAAAAAAATGAATCTAACAAAAATATTCTGTTTTTTGTAACATACGTCCGTAATATGATAAAACACTTAATTTTCTATATTAACATGAAAAGTCTTGCACATGAATTACATACAACTCTCAAATTTGCACATTTCATTAAAGATCTAGACCGATTGTTATCTGCTGTTTCAAAATCCAAGATGGAGTAAGACACCCCAGCTACCTTAATTAGGAAATGGAATTCATGGTTAATTGAATAATTCCATCCCAGCAAATATGGACAAATTCTCTGCTGTAAATGTGTTCTAGAATATCTGTCAGCTTCTATGAGGAATTTGCTATTTCTAATTCCACAACATTATCTTTACTTATTCCAATGGTGCTTGTAGGTATTGACAATGAACACATTAAACAGTTCATATACTTTGCCATGAAGGAGTGCCAACTGACTGTAACTGGGTCTTTAAACCAGGTGAGCAAAAAACAGCGATTATGTCCCCTTATTTTAGCTCTTTAATGTCGTCATAACAACTTCAAACAAGATGGCTGACTTCCCGTGACTTGCCATCGTAATATTTTAAACATTTGCCCTTTTCTTTGTTACTTCATAGCATAATGGGACGAATATTTAATTTATTGAGGAAGGGGCGGAATGATTTTATGCATATGGAATATCCATGTTCACCTTATTTATTTCGCGCGGCAAAGCCGCACGATATTTAATTTTCATGGTATCAGGTCCGTTCGCGCACAATACACGTTCGCACCCTACACGTTCGCCATCTAGGTCCGTTCGCACCCTACACGTACGCACCCAGTTTTTTTCAAATTCCAGTTGAATTATTAGATAATTTTGTAATTGTATATACTAAAAAAATTATTTAAGAAATAATTCATGGAAGCCATAGATTTGTTGGACATTTACACATGGCCTGGGCCGTGATATTCGAATTTTATCCTGAGCGTTAGCGAGATAAAATTCGAATATCACGGCCCAGGCCATGTGTAAATGTCCAACAAATCTATGGCTTCCATGAATTATTTCGATTCTTATAGGACAAATACGGTAATTTAAAAACTTAAGCGAACGTAAGATTGCTGTGTGTACGGCTGTTCTATTTTACCCCCTGTAAGATAAAAGCTACAAATTTCATATAAATCTAAGTCTGACATGAATTATTTCTCAAATAAGCAGTAGAAAAAATGTTATCAATTCTCATAATTCTTAACCCAAACATTTATTTTTCGTTGGCTACTATTTACTGTCAAATCCAGAGTTGACATGTCGTAACTAAGGAGTGAGCCGCCATGTTGACTTGCTGAAATCCACAAATATGCGAATAATGCAATGGAATAGAAAATGAAATAACACCTACCTCAAAACTCCATTTTAATGCAATATTATCCGAACTTAGGGCATACACGTAACGGAAAACATTCAGCTTTAGAGTTTTCATTCGTATGACGTCATGTTATGACATGACGTTAATGCGCCAAGATCATTCATGAAATTTGGTGGAATTTAATTTATTTTGATTTTATACATTTTTTAAGCTCTTGAGCATTAATTATTTTTGTTATGCAATATAATAGGAAAAACGGTTCTGTCGTTTCTTTTTCAATTTCAATTTGGACACAACGAAATCAAAATAGTGTTTACACATAGGTTACGATACATGTAGATTTACGTGGGAGGTAAATAGTAACAGCCACCAATATGCACATCTCTGAGTCTGCGCTAAGTATAGATATATCGAGAATTTTATCACGGTGTTGTTTACAAAGCGAAAGAAGCAGGTCATATTAGAATATATTACGGGTATATTTTCCTGAATAAAAATTAGGGAATTATTATATGAAATGTTTTTTTTTTTATCAATTTGATGATTAATTGTTAAATGTTAATTATGTATGATTACTGCTAATAAGTATTTATACACAGCTAAATTTTGGTATTATTGTTGTGTGTTTGAAAATCATGATTGTTGTTTTAACTTCCTTTGATGTAAATACTGCATGTATTTAGCTTGGTATGACTCTGAGTAAAACATTGAAGATTTTAAATGAAAAACACGAAAGATAATGATTTTAACAGCTTGGCCCCTTTGAGCTCACTTTATTTTGAAACAATGAAAAAAATTTATAGCAATACACTAACCAAAACGTGATTAAGATTTATTCAACACAAAACAAAACATTGTCAGAATCTCACTTTATTTCGAAATAATGAAAAAAATAAATTATAGCAATTCACTTACCAAAACTCAATTACAAATTACTTTTAAAACACAAAACCAATAAAAAAAGTGCGAACGTGTAGGGTGCGAAAGTGAAAGGGGGCGAACAGACCCGGATTCAATTTTCATAGGACATACTAGAGGGTAGCAATGCCCTTTACCGTCAGGCGTCAAACGGTCATTTTCAGCTACTGTTAGCGTCAAATTGGTTTAAATTTTACCGTGATTCGTCAAAATATCCTTATCGTGATTTGTCAACTGTCTGAAATAATTATCGTTACCGTTATTTTTGGAAAAAATTTAACATGATTTGTCAAAATCATTTGATTTTTTACAGTCTTAAAGAAAGGGTACATTTTATCGTCATGCACCAAAAATTACTGTTAATGTCATTTGGCAAGATTTTTTACCGTTATTTGTCATGAAGGTACCTCCATTACGACCCTCATACTCAGTACAGTACTGCCAAGTTTTCTTGAAGCAAATGCGTGAGATTTGGCCAAAATTGTAAAGATCAAAGAGAAAAAACAATAGATCAAAGAAAAATGCGTGAGTCTCACGCTAATTGCGTGAGACTTGGCAGCCCTGCATACTAATAGTCCCAAAACATGTTCGCCCCCTGGGATCGTTCGCACTCTATTTTCATTCAAATATAGGTTGAATTATTTGATGTTTTTAGATGTATATATCTATAATATAATATAAAGTAATGGCCCTCATGAAAAATTATCTGTCTGACAAAATTTTATATAAAATATATTGTATGTGGAAACTATTTCATTATGAAATATTGTCCTTGCCCATGAAATCTTGTCACCTCCTTCTGGACAATATTTCACTATGAAATATTAGTCCAAATAATTATGACGTCTTAAATTGAAGGCTATTTCAATTTTTTGCTGTGTCTGTCACGTTATCCTTGGATGGAATTGTAACATATTTTAAATTATTTTAGGAAATTATTGGAATTATTTTGCACCAACAAACTCACAAAAGGTAAGAATTTGTATATATGCAAAAATTTCTAGCCATCAATGAAGATTTTATATGCCAAAATTGGGTCTCAAAGTTGAGCGAAAAGTCCAACCCCAAAAAATTGCTTCAGCGTTATGATGTGGCATGCGTCACAGCAAAAAATTAAAATAGCCTTTCATTATTATTTGGGCTATATGAAGTATTGTCCATGCCAATATTTCACTATGAAATTCTGTCAATGACAATATTTTGCTTCTTTTTATAATATTATTGGGGTGTAAAAGTGTTGACTGAAGCACATTTTTCTGCGCTTCATTCTAAAAATGTGTGCAGGATCAACACTTTTACAACCCTATCAAATTACCCAAAGAAGCATTCATTTCTTTTAATTACATTTAAGACCATGAAAAAAAAGTTTTATCAAGTTTTTATTTTGATTACCTGTGCACTTGTGGAAGCACATGTTATAACGAATGTAACATTTCTTTTTGATATGAAGGCTTAAATTTTTGAATGATGCACAATTGTTGTTACCCAATCAAACTAACGAATTCTCGTGAAACATACATGTAATGTAATTATTGTGAAATACTGTCCATGAAAATATTTCTTAATCTAATTATATCATCTGCCATTAAATTGGGTACATTTCTTGATTTTTATGCCCCCTCCGCTACACATTAAGTTTTACCCTAGTCCGTCTGTATGTCCCAAAATTGGTTTCCGTTCTCTTAACTTTAGTTTGCCTCAACCAAATGTTATGAAACTTATACACAATGCTTATTACCACAAAATACAGATCAATTTCAAATTTTGATAGCTTTTACTGTTCTTGATTTATGTCCCTTTATAGTGTTACATGCAAGCGGGGGCATCATCTGTGTCCCATGGACACATTCCCTATTTATTTTGAAATATTTTTCATTGATAATATATGTATAACAAAATTGCTGCATACATTCATTAAAATTTCATGATACAAAGTCATGAAATATTGTCTTGGAGGACAATATTTTGCTTTAAATATCCAAATATTTATATTTTCATGAATAAAAATTTGTGAATTTTCTAAATAAAATATTTCTTTTTGTGTTTAGATGATCAATTCTTAAATATTAATTATTTATGATTACTGTTACATGCATTTGGTATTTACAGAGCTAATTTGGTATTATTGTTATGTGTTTGAAAATCATGATTGCTGTTTAATATGACTAAAGCTTTGGTGTATAGTTACCCTTAATACTTTATTTCTCTTTTTTAGTTGCTGTCATGGCAACAGAGTTCTCGAAATCGTTTTTTTTTCCCAGGTGGACTGGTCCTTGAAATAAATCTGCTGGACCTCACTATTATTTCTATTGCAAAATTCCAAAATTCTGTCAGTCCTTTGCAATTTGATGGTCAAATCTGTTGAACCACTACTTTTCGAGAGCTCTGTGGCAATGTCATTGTGACAAGTTTAATAGCCATCAGTTGATATCTTCTGCATTTCTTTTACAAATCTTAGATGAGTGAACTTGGACTTTGATGATTGATCATCATGACAATATTTATTATTTATCTCGTCAAAATAATTCACAAAACACTAAAGTAAACCTGTTTATGTTTTTAGAATGTCGTAAGAAGTAAAAGAAGGCTGGTAGTTCAGTGATGTAAATGTACATGTAAGTTTAAACATCTTTACCAAAATAATTATAGATGAGTGGACGACCAATTTTGTCTTGAGGGGGGGCCTGGAAAATTTGATGAGGTCATAATATTTATTACCAGCTTAAAGGTGGCCAGATTATTTATTTTCTCTCAGACCAGGGCAAGAATACCAATGTTCTACATGTCCAAATATTGTCACAAGTACCCGAAATCAAATGTCAGACCTAGGAAAGAGGGTTTAATTGTATTAAATGGTAATGAATGTGCCGAACGTAGCGAGGAAAATTGTTTTTAGAAGATTTTAAGCAAAAAGAATATAATTTTGGGGCCATAATATTATTTTCATGTGGGATAATATTAGATTGTTTATATTTCCAACTAGATGGGGGCCAGAATATTTATTTCCAAAATCTGCAAGGCCCACCCATCCCCTTAGAAACAAAATTATGGTTGTCCCCTAAACAATTGAATGAAATCTGTCATTACAGATTAACTCAAAACATAATGTCAAATGAACAGACATATGAGAGGAAGGAATATATTATGGCAACCATGGCATGAGGTAATAAAACACACAGATGTACAATATACAAATAATACCTGAAAAAGGATAACAGGTATCACAAAAATTATTGGACAACTGAATAACAAATCATATATACACAACCACTAACATAAGACGTGGGGGAAAACATAAAAAGACAACACATGGTTCAGAGAGCCCAACTTGGAACAGGCACAAAATGACATGGGTCAAACTGTTTTCTGGACACAAACCTCCCTATTTTCCTGATCATTAATCAGATCTATTAATAAACTACTTATTTTCAAATAAATCAATGCAATAAATGCAATACTATATAGATGATTTGATCAACAATGAAAGTCTACAAGGCATAAGGAATTATGTTGATTAATCGGACTGTTACCAATAATAGCATTGGACATCAAAGTGTCCAATATCGGTACAGTGGGCAAACAGGGGTTGGTTTCTTTGTAAGTTTAACCTAAGTTAATATCTTTCAAATTTTAATCCTGGGAATGCTAATTTTCTTCAAGCTGAGCGTGCTACAAATGTATCTTCGTTCTAAATATTTGAGAACTTATTGATTAATAAACAATGATTATTTTTTTATCTTCACTTTATTACCTTCAGTTTTACAAACATATTTGAATAGTCTCATGTAAAGCAATTTATTTTTTCCAGAGTTATAATCTACACAAATGTAAAGTTATTGTACTCCTGTTCTGCCCTAGTCAATTTAATGATGATATTGATAAGCAGGGAATTTCACATTTTGCTGTGTGTGATGCATTAACGTGACAATGATCATGAGACATCTACAGTTAGACATGTTAGATGAGGTTTGACTTTCATGTTTACCTCAAATTTTAAGTGCTAATACATGAGGGGACATTTTATGATTTTGTCTTCATGTTAAAAAAAAATCCCTTGCTGAAATTTCTTACTTTGTTAATTATAAGCAATGTAAAAAAAAAATGAAAATATTAATTACATTTAATAGACATCATAATTATATGGAATATCTTCGTCAGCACCTCAAGCAATATAAGTGTCACATAGAATGTATCTAGGTAATTAGATAACTATTATAATATTCATTACTTTATCTATTTAATGTGGTAATTGCATTTTAAAATTTCAATAAATAGTTTTAATTTTTAATTGTTTGTCATTTTGTTTTGCAGAAAATATTAAAAATAAGATGGCAGCATATAAGTTTACATCCCACAGACAACTCAGAGGTCTGCTAAATGATGCAGAAGTTAAACAGAAAAAAGATATTGCAGAATTTGCTGGGGGACATTTGAATGAATCACTATTATATAAGCCTTCTTCTGAGTGGGCTAGTGCAAAATGGACAGCTGGCAAAGATACCGCAAGTTCTAGTCCAAAGTCAGCGGTTTCTCGAGAGACAAATCACAATGAGGGAAAGAAGATGAAGAATGTTTTAAATGTCCTTTATGACTTTAGTGTTGGTACCTCAGGAAGTCTTCCAATACCTAGCAAAAAGTCTACACCAAACAAAAAAGATTACAAAAAAGAATATGATGACTCAAGACCTGTTTCTACTAGAAAGGATATTAGTCCTGTATCTAGAAAATCTATTTATAGTGAATTAAATGATGGTGTGCTAGTGGAAGAGCTTAAAGCAGAAGAAATGATGTTACCCCCTCCTCTTGTGGCTCCACAAATGAAAAAAAGTCCTCCTCCAGCAGATTATGATGTAATGGAAGAGTTAACAGAAAGACTTGATAATGATGGATATCTGACATTTAGACATACATTTTTACCTACACACCACACGGGTGTAACGAAGAAAGATCAGTTTCATAAAATGAAACAGTTTGAAAGTGGAGTGCTAAGGAAACAGGATTCATCTGAGCAGAATGTTTTGACTGGAGTGAAAGCAGTGGAGCATCTAGAAAAAAAGTTGAAACAGGTTTATATTCTTTATATATATACCCGGTACTAAAAATAGTATTTATAACGTGTATTATAATAATTATAATAATAGAAAAATGTTGTTTAATGCATAGTCAAACTACAAGTTGCCTTAGTGAGTAAAGTAATATGATTTTCATTTCATCACCATTATCATACATGTTGATGCCTCATTCAATAATGATAAATTTCAAGACCTATTCTATACAGGGTTTCACTAGGGCGAGTCCATGAGTCCTGGACTCATGAAAATCTGTCTGCACTGATCATTTTCAAAACTGGTGAGTCCAAAGAATCATCAAGGTTAATCTTTTTTTTTTTGTTATTTCCTTGCTCTATTTTGTCATGGAGACTGAAATAATAAATTATATACATGTACATGTAGCAAGAAAACTTCATATTCTCAGTGTTGGATTGACATGGGGGAAAATGATTGAGTCCCTTGACCCACCTTCAAAAATCCTTAGTGAGAACCCTGTCTATTGATATGCAAAAACCAGCAGGTGAAATAAATCTGACTCTTCTTTCCTTTTTTCAAATGAAGTGGACCTCAGCCGCTAAGAAAATTTAATTGGACAGTGCGGTGAAATGTATTAGAATTGATTATGGAAAATTACTTTGAATCCTGTTCAAACAGCCATATATATATATTGGTAATCTGTCATCCTGGTACTGATATTTGACATGTCTGTAATTCATTTGTGGTGATTAAATACATGTAGATATATCATTCAAGAGTTCTTTCAACTGACTTTGGACATATAGTAGTTTTGACTTAATTAAAACTCTTGGACTTACCCAATAGAAAACTGACAGCTCCATTTTCTGCATCACTCTCATATATTTAGTTGGGTCTTTTAATTATGACAGAGGTAATAAAACCTTTCCCCAGAATCAGTTGTTGTTTACCTTGCCATTTGAATTTTTGTAAAGTGAACAGTCCCATTGAATAAATACAATAGCTATTGTTCTCTGGGGAGTTCCTTCAATTCAAATGAATTAACTGCATTACAAGTGGTTAGACATGCTTGTATAAATTTGATTTTGTTGTCATTTGTTTTACTTTCCTGGTAAGCTGAATGATCCCTAGGTTTTTTATGGTTCATATTTCACTAGTTCATTGCTAGGTTATGGATTCAGTCTCCTTTTAGCCAAAAGTAATTAAATTATTACTGGTAGATATGATAAATTACCTTTTATGTACATGTAACTCACAAGAATTTTTTTCCTTATAATTTCAGGAATTAGACAATTTGAATATATTTGATTCAGGACCTAATTTTCATAAATTACAAGTTTATAGTAATATATATGAAGATCTCTTGCTAGAATCAGCTACCTTTGCTTACATTCTGAGATGTATTAAGGTAAGTGAATATATTTTCTGTTCTGAAATGTATCATCAATAGATATGAGGTAAACATCAAGTAGTCAGTAAACCATAAAATACTTGGAGAAAAAGCAAAATCTGTTTAGTTACATGAATATATAATTGTAACTCTATTAGTAAAAAATATTTAGCACATACAGGAACCACAAAAATATTGATAAGAGAGATATAGACAGACTATGTAGTAGTAAATTATCTTGCTGGTTCTACCATGTAGTCTGTGTCATGATTCTAAAAATTAATTGAAAATCGACTCAAATCTAAATGAAATACATTTAAAAGTACATGTTTTTGGACATCATGGCCCCTGGACATAAACTGTTTGTTTTAATTAAATCCAAGAATGATTTTCAATGATATATATATATATATATTATCCAAATTAAAGTTAATTAGTACCTCTGAGTAATTGGTAACTATATGATGATGACTTAAATCAAAGTGTTGTAAATATGTTAAAAAGTCAGGATCATTGTCAATTTGTGATTTATCAAACAATCACAACAAAAACAATTTTATAGATTAGAATTTTTAGATTGAAGTCTTTATATTTTTTAGACAGAATATGACAACTACATTTCTCGACTGTTAGATAAACAAACACCACAAAATAGTCGGATGTTGCGGGATCAAGTCCAGCAGATGACCAGTAGGGGAACATCAAGACCTAAAGATTTAATTGATGCCAAACAAAAAGTTGTGACTTTAGAGGAAAAAGCAACATCATGTTTAGAAGAAAATGAAAGGTAAGAGTTTGTTGTTCAAGGATAAATAGATAAAGTGAAAGACTACAGTGGTGAATTCAGAATTCTTAAAAAGGTTGGTCATAAATTTTGGCAAGACATGATCAATTTAAAAAAAAAAAATTGTACTTAAAGAGTATGTGTGTATCTGTTTTTGAGATAATGTCCTTTCAATTCCAGGATATATGATAAATCATTCTTTTAATATGAAAGCATTAACCAATTACGATAGACACAAACCAGGTCTGCTGTTCTACTGGATTTAAGTTTTGTAGATGCGCTAAGTAAAAACATTTTCATGTTTTTTAATTGATATGCTTTTGAGAAACATTAAAGTATCATTTATGTATTCATACAAAATGAAGATATATCAAAGAACATCAGACTGTTAAGTCTATACATTTCAGATGTGGTACTCTGGCAGGTTAAGGTTTCTTCATTTCAGATGTGGTTCTCTGGCAGGTTTAGGTTTCTACATTTCAGATGTGGTTCTCTGGCAGCTTTAAGTTTCTACATTTCAGATGTGGTACTCTGGCAGCTTTCGTTTTCTTCATTTCAGATGTGGTTCTCTGGCAGGTTTAGGTTTCTTCATTTCAGATGTGGTTCTATGGCAGGTTAAGGTTTCTTCATTTCAGATGTGGTACTCTGGCAGCTTTTGTTTTCTTCATTTCAGATGTGGTTCTATGGCAGGTATAGGTTTCTTCATTTCAGATGTTGTTCTATGGCAGGTTAAGGTTTCTTCATTTCAGATGTGGTTCTATGGCAGGTTTAGGTTTCTTCATTTCAGATGTTGTTCTATGGCAGGTTTAGGTTTCTTCATTTCAGATGTTGTTCTATGGCAGGTTAAGGTTTCTACATTTCAGATGTTGTTCTATGGCAGGTTTAGGTTTCTTCATTTCAGATGTTCTATGGCAGGTTTAGGTTTCTACATTTCAGATGTGGTTCTATGGCAGGTGTAGGTTTCTACATATCAGATGTGGTACTCTGGCAGCTTTAGTTTTCTTCATTTCAGATGTTGTTCTCTGGCAGGTTTAGGTTTCTACATTTCAAATGTTTGACTGCACTTTCAATTGTAATTTCATTGATAATTAAATATTTCGTTTTACAGACTAAGAAAGAAGTTAGATGAAGAAAAAATATGGTTAGAAAATGCTTCAGAACCAGGTTAGTGTTTTCTTTATTGTTGATGCAGTATTTTAGTTATGATTTATTTTTACTTGTGCTTCATTTAGTGTTAATACTTGTTTTATTGCCTGAAATGTGGATAACTAGTTCTTGACTTCTACATGTTGTATTTGTATTATTTTAATGATTTGAAATTTACAAACCCCAAACATTGGACTAGTGTATCATGTGGTGGTACATGTATTGTTTTTTGCTTTTCTTTTTTTTTTATATGAAAGTGAAACACAGCAAAGTAGTAGGGCTATTTAGGCTAACATTTGGTTCTGAAATTCAAACTTTGGGATATATTATATCTAAAAACCATTAATATGCATATTCTAATAAATTGAACATTTTTTTCTGTCAACTGTTTTAACAAAGTTGCCATATATCATATTTGCGCTGACACAATCAATGTTAAGCAATAATCAATCAATCAGTTATATTTTGATATCCCAATATGTTGACTGGCCAAAGCAATAACTTTTTAAAGAAAGTAATTATTTCAACTGAAATAAGCAATAAAAAAAAAAACTTTCTAAATAAAGTATGAAATGGTTCAAATGAATTGATGAATTAATCTATATATGCTCAAAACAATAGTTGTACACTACATTTTGTATGTGTATATGAATAAAAAGCTTACATTAATAAGACATCATTCCAAATGCACAAGAAAACTAGCATGATCACTTTACTTTTCAATCTGATTTGACAAAATGTATATGTAGAAATAAGAAGATGTGGTATGGGTGCCAATGAGACAACTCTCCATCCCAAGTCACAATGTGTAAAAAGTAAATAATTATAGGTCAAAGTACGGCCTTCAACACAGAGCCTTGGCTCACACCGAACAGTAAGCTATAAAGGGCCCCAAAAAGACTAGTGTAAAACAATTCAAACAGGAAAACTAACGGTCTAATCTATATAAAAAACGAGAAACACTTATGAACCACATCAACAAACGACAACCACCGAACAAATTTCCTGACTTAGGACAGATGCAAACAAATGCAGTGGGTTTAAACGTTTTAACAGGTGCCAACCTTCACTCTAACCTGAAATAGTAGTGTAACATTACAACATAGAAAGACACACTATAAAATATCAATTGAAATGGCTTAATCAAAAAGACATATTAACAAAAACAAGTGAACATACACTGAACGAATAAATGGATGTTATTTATAGATTTACTGTACATTAATGATCATTTTTTTCAGAGCCAAGGCCTGCTATTTCCAGTGTGTATAAGGAAGAACCACCACCAGAATTATGTGATGAAATAGAACATGTTAAATCTCAGATCTTAGAAAAACTCGATGATTTACAGGATTTGCGAACAAAACTTAGAGCAGATTATGTTCCATTAACTGTGTGCTCTCACCTAGAACAGTGCATTAAAGAAACTGAGGTAATGATGTCTAGCTTTCCTTAGAAATACACAAAAATTGCTTTTTTGCAGGCTTATGGTTGTGAAATAAACTTTATAAAAAAAGATATATTGAGGATGACAAAAATAGTCCTTATAATATACCAAAGTGTAACAAGTGTAAGGCTGTTAATATCTGAATGTTTAGCACCAGATTCATATTTGCATCAAACTTTTATCATACACAATCTAAAAAAAAAAATCCCTAATGAAGCTTTTGTAAATTTTGTTTCCCCAACTGTATAATGAAGCAGTGACTTTTATGAACAAAGCTTTTTTAGTAAACTGCAAATAAAATGGAATGACCATTTATTAAAACTATATTCCTTGCCATCTATTGTTGTCTGTCATCCTCCATCATTTATTTTGCAAGATTTCTTTTTCTTAGAGCAGTTTACACCAAATGAAAATTATAGATAAAAATATTATTGTTTTGGGAGTTTCAACTTGTTATTCATGATAAATTTTGTTTTTACATTGGTTGCAATGAATTTCCGTGATTTCCCAGTGGTATAAAACAATGACAATTTCACATGAAATAATCTGATAATTTTACTCCTCTGATTTCATACAAGAATGGGTGTTGATGACTGCATCAAAACAAGTCAGAAATTGTAGAACAAAATACAGGACTTGTGTGTTGTTTGGTCACTCGTTGAATATATTTTCTATACTTGAATTCTTGGATTAGTTATTTTATAAGCATTGAGTGTTTTGTATTTGGTACTGCAGCCATTCATAAAAATAATTCAACTTTGACAGTTAATTCTGGTAGAGGTCATCAAAAATAAACTTCTAGCATACATGGCAATGAAAACATGTCTATTTATCAAACACTGTTAAGGAGTATAGATATATGTAGTGAAAATATTTCTCCTAAAAATTTTGAAACCAAACAAAAAATCTTTTTTTGAATATTTTTCTTATATAAATATATTTCCATGTTTATTCATTTTTTTTCTAGATTGAAGTACAAAAGTTGTTAAAACAGAATGAATATTTAGAGAAGACAATAGGAGATATGGAAAGTGAACTAAAAGATGCTATACAAGATGCTGATACTAGTGAGAGAGATTCTAGGTATGTTATCTCCCCTTTATCCAGCTTTCAAGAGTAAATTATCTACCCTTTATTTTTAATTGTTAGAGCTAGGTGAATGTATACTCTTCCTTTAATATGCTGGGAAAAATAACCCTTACTTCAGGATGCAGGTTAATTGCCATATTATTCAGAGTGGTGATATCAGTGATCAGGGTGCTAGGAGTGCTCGACAATAACTCTTGTCCGATTGTCTGGTACCAGAGGCAAAAAAGGTCGGACAAGTAAAATCCATATCAAGCTTGTCCGACGGGACAAGTAAAATCATTCTGTAGAAAATAAATTAAATTCAACTTTGATGATCAAAGTAATAAACAAAAAAGAAGAAAAGAAGATAAAAACAAATATTAATTTGACATGTTTACTTTCGATCTATAATTTAAAACTGGTTCTTTGTCAGATACTTTATAACAGATAAAAGGCATACTATTCTCACAAACCAGTCTTACCAATTGGAATTAGGGGTTCACTTTGTATATAAAGTAACAAGACAGTTCGGCACGAAACGAATCAGCTCCATATTAATAGACAGTTCGGCACTGTTGGTGACATTTCGGGACCAAGACAAACCAGAACCTTGTTTCCCTACAGTTATTCTGTTGTTTTATAATAAATATATGATAAATTTTATTAATTTTTAAATATTTTGAAAATAAAAATGAAGAAATTATTGACCATAGAATTCAGAAAATCAGATTTGATCATATTTAGATAAACAATATTTGATTGTGTTTGAATAAACATTTTAATACATTAAAAACGAAGCTGATTGAAGTAAGGCATTAATCATCATAATTAATATTTTATCAACATAAAAGACCAGGATACAAACCAAATGAGTGTAAACTGACAGGCCTACTAGACTGTGCCTGATGTGCAGAGTCTGATGAGACTTTGGCTTTGATAAAAACTAGAACCTAAGTCCTGTGACAAGACATGACTAGATTCAGTTGTTCTCGTCTCATATTTTTGAAAAGGATATAGAGACATATAAATTGACTTCTGTTCTATTGTTTTAATTCATTTTGTTCATTGAATCAACCTAAAATGCAAAAATGGTTAATATAAAGTGTTGGTTTTTTTTGACAAGTTACAATTCCATTCAGACAAGTAAGTTTTGGTATGTACTTGTCCTATTGGGCAAGTTGAAAAAAAAGTTATTGTAGAGGCATGGCTAGTCAGATCAGAAATACATCACCAGGATGTTGATATTAATGAAACAAAGATGCTAATTATCTCCCCTGTATTCAGGATCCTGATATTAACAAAAGAGCTTCTATATAAGTAATCTCTTTTTGATTGTTTTAATTCCAATCAATCTATTTAAAACCAGACCTTATTTGCTCTTTTATACTTACATTGAGGGTATGATGGCAGACATTTTGGATTAGATGCAGATGACTTAACTGCCAATTCTTTGGTATTGATGACATTTGCAATATTCTTTTTTTCTAATACCTGTTAACAGACCCAGAGTTGTATACCTTAGAAAATGTCTTTTTTAGGGAAATTTGTCAACATTAACTCTGAAAAATTCTTACATTTTGAAATGGAAAAATCTATTTTGATCTGCATAAAAGATTGAAGATAGAGGATGATAAATAAAAAAATTCGTAAGGGTTCCACGGAACCCAGTGTCTCGCCTACTTTTTCTGTTAATCGCAGGCTCAACAAAATGAGGAAGTAAATCAATAAAAATATTCTTCTTGATACTATCTTTTGATTGTAAGAATCTTCTGTCCAAGTTTGGTAAAAATCCAGGATAGTTTATGAATCTAATAAATGTTTAAAAACTTTAACTGCAGAATGAATGTAATGTTAACTGGAAGAAAACAAAATTTCCTTCTAGATACAAGCATTTGATCATAAACATGCTTCTGTCCAATAAAATTGAGAATGGAAATGGGGAATGTGTCAAAGAGACAACAACCCGACCACAGAACAGACAACAGCAGAAGGCCACCAACAGGTCTTCAATGCAGCGAGAAATTCCCGCACCCGGAGGCGTCCTTCAGCTGGCCCCTAAACAAATATATATACTAGTTCAGTGATAATGAACGCCATACTAAACTCCAAATTGTACACAAGAAACTAAAATTAAAAATAATACAAGAATAACAAAGGCTAGAGGCTCCTGACTTGGGACAGGCGCAAAAATGCGGCGGGGTTAAACATGTTTATGAGATCTCAACCCTCCCCCTATACCTCTAGTCAAGTTTGGTACAAATCCAAAATAGTATTAGAAAGTTATTAAAATTTTAAAAACTTAAACCACAGAGTGAATGTGTTGTTTCCTGGCAGAAAATCTAAGTCCATTTTAAAGTAAAATAAGGAAAAAATAGATTTATTTTTTTACAAAATTTACTTCTGGATACTATTTTATGATAATAAACAAGCTTCTGTCCAAGTTTGGTACAAACCCAGGACTGTTTAAGAAAGTTATTAAAATTTTAAAAACTTAAACCACAGAGTGAATGTAATGTTTCCCGGCAGAAAAACTAAGTCCATTTATAAGTAAAATTCAGGAAAATGGAATTTTATTTTTACAAATTTACTTCTGGATACTATCTTATGATCATAAACAAGCTTCTGTCCAAGTTTGGTAGAAATCAAGGATAGTTTAAGAAAGTTATTAAAATTTCAAAAACATTAACCACAGAGTGAATATTTGTGGACGCTGACGCCGACGGAATGTAGGCTCGCTATGTCTCGCTTTTTCGACTAAAGTCAAAGGCTCGACAAAAATGTGTGCTAAGGTTTAAAAAGTAAATCTGAAAGATTCATTTCAAAATTGTCGTGTTTAATTGGGAGGAATAGACAAAAAATTAAGACTTTTTCCTTTAGTATAATGTAATGGACTGAGCCGATTAAACAGTATGGGTTTTTCTCATTGTTGAAGGTTGTACTGTGACCTATAATTGCTTATATCCACTTATTTGAACTCTGGTGGATAGTTGTCTCATTGGCAGTCATACCACATCTTCTTATTTTTATATGCTACTAATATTATTTTACTCTTAGGTCATCTGATCATCATTTTAGTTTTTATTGATTTTATTATAGGCGTATTTGGAGGAAAGTAAATTCAAGACGAGGTTTGCCAGGATCAACTGGGGAAGAAGATGACGATGATGATGATGAAAGTAAATGGAACTGGTATATCTCATGATAAAAAAAGACAGAAACATTGAACCTAGTCTGTGATAACACTGTGATAATTTCTAATCTATGGAGTGATACTGATAGACAAATTGTATGTTAGAATGTGTAACTGAGTATGGAAAAATAAGTATCTAACAGAATTTGTGTACTGCATGCTAGGTATTTTACACTAAGAATGCTGTTTTGCATGGAGAAAGTTTTAACTATTGATTTTTTCAGAATCCCCCAGAAAAGCTGGTCAGGTGATTTACAAATGTATAACTAGGTGCTACAAAAGTGTGTAAAGTACCAAAATTAATTGAACTTTTTTCATCCTCCTTATTTAGCAATTGCAAATTTATTTTGCAGGACATTTGTTTTTCAAGAGCTTAATGGTCATGGAATTTTTTCTTCATATCAATATAAAAATAAAAAAATTCTGAGAAACATGAGAGCTTACTGTTAAAGATGATAGAAATATTTAAATGACATATTTGAATTTGAAAAAATAAAGGTTAATCAGTATGTTTGTTTGAATTATTGCAGCAACAGAACATACAATATTTTACCCAAATACACTTAATGTAAAACTTTACAAAGACCAACTTGTCTTTAAAATATAAAACAGTTAAGAAATTAAACCTATATGTAGGAATGCTAGTTGTAGGATGGTTTATTTTACAATGTGTGTAGTGTTTTTGCTAGAGAGAGAGGGAGTTTGTTTTGTTAATATTTGAGTGTGCAGAATAGTTTATATGATGCAAGAAAAACAGTGAACTAAGATGTGTTTGTTGCTAAAATATGAAATAAAAAGTTGTTTTACTGTATGTTTTATTTGTCATTGAATGTTATTCTATTATCTGAACTTAAAATAAGGAATGATTGATAGTTGTTTAATGTCCAGCAAGAAATCTGGAAACCATATTAAGGACAAGAAGATGTTGATCTGGTCTGAATATGGACCATGCTTTTTGCTAGACAAAATCACTGATGCAGTACAAAGCTACGAAATGAAAAATAATATAGATATCTATTGAGCAATTATTAACTGCAAATTGAGAAAAGACAGACAGTACTGTGGGCACATTTGCAGTATTTGTCAATAGTTTCTGTCTCGCCTTGACGGAGTTAACAAGCGAGACATAGGTATGCTGTTTCCGGCGGCGATTGTGGTGTCAACAATGTATTAGTTTGTGATTAGGTCTAGTTCATGGTGAACCACTAGTGGTAGGTCAATGATATTTGGTATGCAGTTGTATTAGCATTGACACATCTCATTACCATGGAGATTATTTGGCCCCGCCCCCTCAGTCAAGGTCTATTGACTTTGAAACTTTTCATAGTTTACATGTATTAGTTTGTGATTAGGTCAATTTATGGGGAACCGCTAGTGGTAGGTCAATGATATTTTGTATGCAGTTGTATAAGCATTGGCATATCTCATTTCCATGGAGATTATTTGGCTCCGTCCCCTTAGTCATGGTCTATAGACTTTGAAAACTTTGCTAAGTTAACATGTATTAGTTTGTGATTAGGTCAGTTCAAGGGGAACCATTTATGGTAGGCCAATGTTAATTGGTGTTCAGTTGTATAAGCATTAGCACATCTCATTTCCATGGAGAATATTTGGCCTCTCCCCCTCAGTCATGGTCTATTTACTTTGAAACTTTTGCTTAGTTTACATGTATTAGTTTGTGATTAGATCAGTTTAAGATGAACTGCTAATATTAAGTCAATGATATTTGGTATGCAAATTTATTGGCATTTGCAAGTATTGTTTTCATGGAGATGATATAGCCCCACCCCTGATCATGGTTCATTGACTTTGAAACTTTTACATAGTTTACAAGTTAATGTTTGTGTTTAGGTTTGTTTAAAGGGAACGACTTATAATAAGTCAATGGTATTTGGTATGCAGTTGTATTAGCATTGGCACATCTCATTCCATGGAGATTGTTTAGCCATGTACCTTCAGTCATGGTTCATCGACTTTGAATGTTTGCATAACTTACATGTTAAAGTATTGCTATTTTAATTTCAACATTTGCATTATCAAAATTACAAAAAGGCGAGACATATCTCTGTGATAACAGTTTATATTGGTACCTGTATTTGCTGCTTCTCTGCTAAGCATGCAGCATTTAGGAGTAAGAGCAAAGGCTCCGAGTAAGAATAATTGGTCTTGGTACGTTGATATGTCTTCCTGCAGACAGTTACCTTATGATCTAGCATGTTAAAAAATCTGTCTCAGCATGTCATTCTTTGCAAAGTAGGAATCATATCACATTAACGGGTTCTTGTCCTAAAATCCATGTACTATTTGCCACTGCACATAAAATACCAATCCACAGTCCATTTGTTGGTAAGCCAGTCATTTACTGGTAATCAATCCCAGTAGTATTGAATCTAATAGAGCTGTCTACTAAGTTGGTAATGCCCTCGGGGTTAACACTCCAGGGTCAGTAGTTTGACCTATTCACATATTTAGTTTGGGTTGCTTTGCATACCTCAATCTCTTTATATTTTATTTTTCACTGTTTACTGAATTAGAGTTTGTATAGGGATTTTCCCTTGTTTGTTAATTCACTGTCAATTATATACTCCTCCAAATAGCAGGGAGTGTGCACTAATTTTATATTTTTATCTATTTGCTTTTTATGAGTTTCCAAAATAAATAATGGTCATATCTACAAAATTGGGTAGGCATCTTGTATCAGCAACTCTCTCTAAACCAGTTTCTGATTTCAATAAAAATTTGAATAAACCAATCTTAAGTATCTAATGGATTGTGCAAATCCAATTTCAATTTTTTGTGGTTTTTCATAGCAAACCACAGACAATATCACACCATATATTTTTTAAACTTCTTTTAACTAAACGCAGTTCACATAATCTTCATTTGATATATCTATCAAAAGGCACTGTTCATCTCCTCTATATTATGTAGGCAGGGTTTATTTGGGTTTTGTTTTGTTTTGTTTTGTTGTTTTTAGATTGTTTTTGTTTTGTTTTTGTTTTTTTTATTTCAGCTGGCTTCTAAACTAAAATGTATATATATACTAGTTTAGCTAATGGACGTCACACAAAACTCCGAAACATATAAATGAACCCCTGTACCAATAGTGGAATAAACAAAAACACAGCAATACGTACAGTGAAATTCAGTTTAAAAGAAGTCCAAATCCGATACAATTCCTTGGAATAGGTAACTGAAGAGACTAAGCCAAATGACAATCATGTTAAACCAAAGAAATCAATAAAATAGATGTTTTTTTTATTTGTATATTATGTAAACTTGAGAAAAACTTTGCTCATGTCGATGCTTATAACGTCATTTTTAAAGTGTGTCCCGCTGTTACTGATTTTTTTTTTTGTGCGCGTCTTTTAAATCACAGTGCGGATTAAATAGTAGGTTAAATGTGATTAAAATTTTACAACCATATTGTATATCATTGACGAAAAATTGCTTCATAGACGTGTTTAACTGTAAGTGAAAGAATATTGTCAGAAGTGTTGAGTTGAAGAAAAGAAAAAAATGTCCCATCCAGCTTCTCCGTTCCTATAAAAACTTTCTGTCTTCACTATTATACAATATAACAGATGTAAGTGGCTTTTGATAATATCAGAAAATTGATGTTCTAGAGAAGCTATCTGAAGTCATCACAAAATAACTGCGGTCTTACTTTCAAAACATCGTCAGTATTCCTGTGTCCAATAAAATGTCCCGATGACTTTTCTTACATATTTGGCATCAAATTAATTTTTTTAAATGGTCTGATCTATATTAGATAAAGTTCTTGTTTAATATGCATCAAAGTAGATCTGATTTGTAAAAATAATTTAAGATTAGAACTTAGAACACTTATTGATCAAGCTATTTCATTAAAAGTAAATTTAGAAAACAAAAATAAAGGTAAAGGTTATTTTAAAATAAATAATTCTATACTAAGTGAACCTAACTTTAAAAATAAATAAATAATTTAATAGATTCCTATTTGGAAAAATGTAAACATAATGAAAACCTATCCCAATTATGGGATTTATTTAAAATTGACATAAGAGAAACTACAATCTTATATTGTAAAATTAGGGCAAAAAGGAAAAAAATATGAAATAAATGATTTGGAACAAATATTGCAATCATTAAAGAAAAAAAAAGAAAATAGCAAAATAAACAAGACAGAAAATGATGAAATTGAACAGTTAGAAACTTAAATAGAAAACTTATATAATTTTAAAGCAAAAGGTGCACAAATATACTTAACTTAGAAAAGAAATATTATGAAAAACTTTATACAAGTACTGAACCAGACAAACAATTAATTAATGATTATATAACCGACACAAAAATTATTGAGCTAAGAAGAAAGCGAGTCTTTAATGGGTCTCTTACAGTCAATGAATGTACTAAATCTATTTTTCAAATGAAACTAAATAAGTCTGTTGAATTTTATAGAGAATTTTCGGATAAATTAAAAAGTTTTGCAACAGATAGTTTTAATTGCTGTTATAAAGTAGGAATGTTGTCAGAATCTCAAAAAAATAGGCCTTATTTCTTTATTATTGTCGAGCCTGCGACTTTTGTCGCAAAAGCGAGACATAGCGATCATACATTCCGTCGTCGGCGGCGGCGTCCACAAATATTCACTCTGTGGTTTAAGTTTTTGAAATTTTAATAACTTTCTTAAACTATCCTGGATTTCTACCAAACTTGGACAGAAGCTTGTTTATGACCATAAGATAGTATCCAGAAGTAAATTTTGTTAAAAAAAATCCTGTTTATCCGTATTTTACTTATAAATGGACTTATTTTTTCTGCCAGTTAACATTACATTCAATCTGTGGTTAAAGTTTTTAAAATTTTAATAACTTTCTTAAAATATCCTGGATTTCTACCAAACTTGGACAGAAGCTTGTTTATGATCATAAGATTGTATCCAGAAGTAAATTTTGTAAAAAAAAAATCCTGTTTATCTGTATTTTACTTATAAATGGACTTAGTTTTTCTGCCAGTTAACATTACATTCACTCTGTGGTTAAAGTTTTAATTACTTTCTTAAACTATCCTGGATTTGTACCAAACTTGGACAGAAGCTTGTTTATGATCAAAAGCTAGTATCTAGAAGGAAATTTTGTAAAAAATTATTTCCTGTTTTTCCGTATATTACTTATAAATGGACTTAGTTTTTCTTCCAGTTAACATTACATACAGTCTGCAGTTAAAAAATTTAAAACGTTTATTAGATTCATAAAACATCCCGGATTTTTACCAAACTTGGACAGAAGCTTCTTACTATCAAAAGATAGTATCTAGAGGAAAATTTTTAATAATTTTTCACCATTTTTGTTGAGCCTGCGACTTTTGTCGCAAAAGCGAGACATAGCGATCCTACATTCCGTCGTCGTCTGAATTTACTCGAATGGGAATTTATGTACCAATCTTTACAAAAATTTGGTATAAAAACTCTATGTTAAATTGGGTGAAAACGTTGTATAAAGACAAAAATTGATCGTAAGTTATACTGAAATGTCCATGACTTGCGAGGTGTTTTTTCTCGTAAAATTTTTTTGTGCAATGAGTCGCAGGTTTTTACTGTGAGTAGAACAATCTCTTGTCATCTACCTAGCAACATGTGTATGAAAAAAGGGTTATCACTTCTAGAAGTAATGTATGGCAGAATGGAGTTTGTTGTCTCGAATCTCTAACAGAATTGCCTTGTACATAGGATGCGATGCAACGAATATTAAAATTTAGATGGAAACTTATCGTTTACATTAATTTGAAAGAGGAAAAGGCAACTTTGCGCTCAGTGTTAGTATAGTGGAG